ACAAATATTGGTTAAACTTTTTCACTCCCCATACTAAGCTTAGAGCTTCTCTATTTGTGCATAATTACGCTCTGCCGGTGACAAAGAGCGTGATGCAAAAGCCATGGGGCGTTCTGAGCCGTCAGTCATTTTATGTGACAAAACGGCACCAATGCCGTATGGTGAAGCATCACAGGCAAGTCGCAGGGGCAACTTTGGGTCAAAGTGTGTCAAAACTTTGTCTGAGATAATGAGTCTTTTTGCATTTTTGAATGCTTCATCAGTCATTAGTCCAATTCCATTTAGTCTGGAGACCGCAGAAACTCGATTAAATAAACCCAAAAGAGCTAAAGAAAATTGGCCATTGTCATGTGACCAAGCGCACCCACTCCATCCATCCGCGTTGTATCATTCAGTTGCTTATAATAAACAACGCCAATACAGACTATTTCAGACTGTAAATCACGCTAAAGTACTGTGGGACCCGAAAGTCAAGCCCAGAGGTGTATTTGGGGGGCACTTAAACATAAGAAGTGTTGTGCCCAAGTCAGAACAAATTGAACAGCTGCTGACTGAATCAAATCTGGACTTTGTGGGACTTTCAGAGACATGGTTGAAACCTTCCATCTCAAATACAGTTCTCCATATCCCGGGATATAATATATACAGGCGTGACCGTGGATATGGCAAAGGAGGCGGAGTAATGCTTTATGTTAAGGACCATTTTCAGTGTTCTCAAATAGATACAGTAGGGGATGCCTTGGAATGTGTGGGAGTGAACATTCGACTGTCTCCTGAAATGTCATTTGCTGTCATTGTGTTATATAGACCTCCTTCAACTAATAATGAATTTTTTGACCACCTAAGTGATATTTTTAAAAAAAATAACTCAAAAGAAGTCCTTCTTTTGGGGGATTTTAATATTAATTGGTTAGATAGGCAAGCCAGAAGAAAATTAAAAGAAATGACCCATAAATTCAACTTTATGCAAATTATTGAAAAACCAACTCGGGTTATAAAGACATCGCAAACACTTATTGACTTAATTTTCACAAATAAAACCGACCATATCACAAAGGTGTACAATCTAATAACAGGACTATCTGACCATAATTTAACATTAGTTGCCAGGAAGCTGTCAAAGGCACGCTATAGAAAATTAAATAGTGCAGATTCAAATGACTCTGTATCTTACATTCCAAGAAAAAATATTGAGTTATTTGATAATGAGATAAGACAGGTTAATTGGAACGAAAGTATTGAGTTTAAAGACTGTAACGTTTCATCTTTTGATTTAATGGAAGTGTTTCAGCAAATTATCTCTAAATATACAAAAGTAACAAAGGTAAAGCAAAATGGGAGAAGTCCCCTACCTTGGATGAATGATGATTTATGGAAATTGATGAGAGAAAGAGATACAGCTCTAAAAAAACAGTTTAAAACAAAACTTGTAACCGATCGATTAATATTTACTGGACTTCGAAACAAAGTTACAAAGGTTTTTAGAAAAGCTAGGGCGGCATTTATTCTTAATATAATTAAACAGGCAAAGGGAAATTCTAAAAAGCTGTGGCAAATGATAGATAAAATTACAGGAAGAGGGAAACCAAAATGCAAGACCATAGAGCTTAAAATAGATGAAACTTACATTAAGGATGGTATAGTTGCTGATCACTTCAGCAATTATTTTATAGACTCTGTGAACGAAATCACATTGCAAACCTCTGGATTCCTTCATTTGTTCTCACCACCTGCATTCTTCTCCAGTACTGCACTAAAATTCAAAAGTATTGATAATGCCAAAATAGGTAAAATAATACAATCTTTATCAAATTCAAAGGCTAAAGACTACTGGGGACTTGACAACACACTTATCAAAAAACATAAGGAGACTCTAACAACAACAATAGCCCAAATTGTGAACAAATCTATTAATGAAAGTGTGTTCCCTAGTGTCTTCAAAACAGCAGTTATAACTCCAATTCATAAATCTGGTAGCAAAAATGAGGTTAGTAACTATAGGCCCATTAGTTTACTACCTGTAGTATCAAAAATATTAGAAAAAGTAATCATAGAGCAGTTAACGGAACATCTAAACGATAATAATGTTTTGCATCAAATGCAATTCGGTTTTCGCAGACATCATTCCACTGATGCTGCCTGCTGCTACCTGACAGAGAGCATCAGGGCCGGCATGGACAAGGGGGGCACGGTGGGTGCCGTGTTCTTGGACTTACGAAAGGCCTTCGACACGGTAAACCACTGTGTCCTCCTGTCCCGGCTTGCTCAGTGTAATCTATCCAGTGAAGGACTGGAGTGGTTCCAGTCATACCTTACTGACCGGGTGCAGTGTGTGAGAACAAATAATGCAACATCCTCTTTTAAACCTTGCACAACCGGGGTCCCACAAGGGTCAATCCTGGGGCCCTTGCTGTTCAGCATTTATATAAATCACCTCCCTGATGTGTGCAAAGACCTGGATATAATTATGTATGCAGATGATGCCGTCATCTTCACACATGGAAGGGATATGCAGACAGTGGCCTCAAAGTTGTCTTCAGTATTGGACAAAATCCAAAATTGGCTCCAATCTTCATGCCTGACATTAAACACTAGTAAAACAGTTGGCATGTATTTTCATAAAATAAATAATACTAAAGAGATGCCTAACATATATGTAAATGGAGAGGCACTAAAAAATGTAACGGAAACAAAATACTTAGGGCTCTATTTAGACCAAACACTGACATTCAAAAAGCATGTTAAAAAAGTAACCAACACAATTAAATATAACATTTCCTCTCTAAAGCATATGAGGAACAGCCTGACAGTCGAGGCGGCTTTCACTTATTTCAACGCCATGATAATTCCTCACTTTACTTACTGTTTATCTAGCTGGTCGCAGGCAAAGGAGACCACGCTCAAACCACTCAGATCTGTGTACAATCAGGCTTTAAAGGCACTTGACAAAAAACCACTTCGTTATCATCATTGCAATATCCTGAGTAAGTTCAAACTGCTCAGTTTTGACAATATAATTCTATATAATAATCTAAGAACTATATTCAAAATCACTAATAATACAGCTCCACCACCACTGAAGAACTTTGTCAGACTTTGTTCTGAGCAAAATACGAGAGCCACTCGGTCCACTGCAAATAAAAACTGTGTAATCCCAAAAAGATCCTCGGCCTTTGCACAATGTGCCTTCTCATTTCGCTCTATTAAACAGTGGAATGAGCTTCCAGACTGTCTGAAACTGTCTGTAGATCATAATAGTTTTACTCGAAATTTGAAAAAGTATATTTTAGATCATCAATCGTGTCAGCATTGATGAATGTATTGTAAACTGTAGGGATTGTTTATATGTTTTTTTAGAAGTGTACAGAAAACTAATGTATTTTATATAGTGATTTTATTGTAGATTAGATTTATAGATTGTAATGATTTTTGTACTCACCTGTCCAGGGACTGCAGATGGAAAATAGCTACTTTGCTAAATCTGGTACAAATCATCTCTTCTTTTGTAAAGACTAATGGTTTTGTACACTGTCCCTGTTTCAATAAACAATAAACAGAAACAGAAGGTTTTGATGGAGAAGACCATTTAGTGGGTGGATCACAGATGACAGATTTGGCAAAAACTTGTGATAATAGTTAAGAAGGCCAAGGAAGGATCGCAGTTGACTCACATTTTCAGGTTGTGGAGAATTCACTACGGCCTCGACTTTATCTTGTGTTTTGTGTAGTCCATTCTTGTCTATCTTGTGTCCACAGTACTCAATACATTCTTTGAAAAACTCACATTTCTTTTTATTTGCTTTAAGTCCATATTGTTGAGAACCGCATCTAAGTTTGCTAAATGCGAATATTTGTTTGGGCCAGTGACTATGATGTCATCCAGGTAACATTGTGTACCTGGGATCCCTTGTAACACCTGGTCCATTGCACATTGCCAGATTGCTGGGGCACTTGTAATGCCAACTACAAGTCGGTTGTATTGGTACAAACCCTTGTGAGTGTTGATGGTGAGGTACTTCCGTGAACTCTCGTCCATCTCCATTTGCAGATAGGACTGAGCAAGATCTATTTTTGTGAAGTGCTCACCATTTGCTAGAGAAACAAAAATATCATCAATGCGAGGAAGTGGATAATGGTCTGCGTGCAGTACCGGGTTAACGGTTACCTTGAAGTCCCCACAAATACGAACTCGTTCTGAAGACTTCTTGGCCTAAAGTCCACGAATCTTTTTAAAAGATTAAATACGATCGAATTAAGACACGGATGTCACTTTTAATGCAATTTGAGGCGAGATGTTGATGGTTCTATGTTGATAAATGTGTGTTTTAAGAGTCAAATGTTCCTGTAAAGTTTGGTTGAGGCACTGGTTCAGTGTTCCTGTTTACACACTATGCAGCAGGGTTGCCAGGTTTGGTGGTTCCCGCATATTTTTTTCCAAGAGACTTGTAGGTATTAAATAAACAGAAAGACAATAAACAGAATCATGATAGCCCAAGTTGATTACATTACGTTTTTAGCCAAAAAATCATTCTGAGTGTTTTTTTGTGTGGGTATTCTCTCGGATTTTGGGTTGGAAAATCTTGCTGGGATTTGGCAACCTATGGGAGCCGTGTGCTTCGATGTGAGTGGTTGAAAGCAGACTTCATTCAAGATAACGGACAAGTGGTCTATCCAATCACATACATGGATTTTTTTTACAAGGCCCTGCCTTCTGAAATCCAACCACTATGGCTCAGTACCAGACTCATGTGTGAAGTGCAGCGAACTACATGGGTCTGGCGAGAGTCAGGCTAGTCATTATGGGGTGTTGGGTGTAGAATTGTAAGGAAAATTTTAATTGAATCAATTTTGGAATAAGGCTGTAACATAACAAAATGTGTAAAAAGTACTGAGCACTGTGAATACTTTTTGGATGCAATGTATTTTTGTTTGTGTGTGTGGGGGGTGTGGGTTCATGTGTGTGATTGTGTGTCTTTGTGCATTTGTTTGTGCTGAACCAGGACGTGAAGCTGAAGAACATGGGCTCGTGGGCCAGCTTGGCTCAGAGGTCTCAGTCATCTCATCCCTCCTCGGGACGCTCCTCCAGTGACAGCTTTGAGCTGTTCCGTCGGGCCGCCAGAGAGAAGGAAGAGCGGGAGAGGCAGCTCCGAGCACAAGAGCAGGCCCGTAGCCACCACGACAAGCCACGGTAACAACCACATGCCATAGATTCACGACACAAGGATTCATAAGAAGCTTAACCGTAACTTTATAGTCTTTGGTCCTGGGGGGGCAGGCGCTCACATATGTGATAGCCCAGTGCCTGTGGAGTCCAAGGGTGCAAACCCCAGGTCCCTGGACCTCTGGGCATGTTTTTAATGCTTTTTTGAACATTTTTGAACACGCATCTGAAAAAACTCAAAGGCTGTGTCCCAAACGCTAGGCATCGGGCCGTGTAGGGTGGATATGTAGGCTCGTGACGTCACTTCCTCATGCGCCTCGAATTTCAGGCATGTCCAAAACCACTTGGCGAGCTAGGCAGAGTGCCTTTGTCTCCATGGAAACAGCCACTTTTGGAGCAGATATGGATACATCTGATGTATACTTCGTTGCCTTATTTTTAGCGAGTCACGGCCGCGCATGTGCAGAACTCCGTTCGGTGTTAACATGTAAACAACACACAGACCTCGGACCTGGAGCTAACATGTGTCTGTAGTAAGTACTGATATACTTTACTGTTTAGTTATGTCTATAGTAAGTACTGCTATACTTAACTGTTGAGTTATGAACACAACTGTTATGATAAAACACAGGCATAAGTTAGATCTGCCACAGATGTGTGTGTTTAACCTTGTTATCTGCTGTGAATAAACTCAGTTGTCACGAAAAGCTAATGCTAATGCTACGAGGCTAGCCTGTTCATTCAGATTCGGTTTTTGAAAACAAAAAATCATGTTGTTTTATCTTCAGGAAGAAACAACCCCACTGATTAAATATTAAAGCTACACTGAGGAAAGAGTCACGTTTTCATGCAAAATCACACAGCAGTCCATGGAGACAGCAGCTAAAGTAAGCAAACCATAGTGCTAACACCTGTTTTCAGCATTAATATAAAACAGATTGTGTACATCGTGTTAATCCCATACTGTGACTGGAAATACTGTATAATTTCATATATGTGTAATATATACAGTAAATGTAAATAAATATAGAGACTTGTGGTGAGATTAAGGTCATCATTTCTCCAGCTTCACGTCCGTCACCTCCTGCTTCACGTCCGTCACCTCCTGCTTCACGTCCGTCACCTCCTGCTTCACGTCCGTCACCTCCTGCTTCACGTCCATCACCTCCTGCTTCACCTCCATCACCTCCTGCTTCACTGCGGATTTACAATATGAACTACAAAAAACTTGTATATAATAGTTTCATGTTTTAATCAATCATCAGTCATGAATAGTAAATACAGTGGGCTCTGCATCTCTGAAGACGTAGCAGGAGCTGCAACAGCAGTAGCAGGAGCAACAGGAGGAGTAAAAGCAGCAGCAGAAGGAGTAACAGGAGGAGTAGCGGCAGCAGGAGGAGCAGCAGAAGAAGCAACAGGAGGAGTAACAGCAGCAGGAGCAACATCAGAGTCCTGCCTCTGCGTCTGCCTCTGACACAGGTTTCATCGACAGCGTGCACTTCAGAGGAACCTGGAAATAAAGAATACAAAAATCAAACTTGTTGGTTTTATTATGATTTAGTTGTTTATGTCTAAAATGTAAAGCGTCATGAAAAGTGAGTACTGATTTGCAACTACATATTTGCAAATCAGTACTTATACTTCTAATAGTGGTCCATGGTGGTCCAAAAACCACCATGGACAGCACTAAAATGAGACCAGTGACGTCGCCCGGCATGGCGCAGCCGGGGCCCCACCCTGGAGCCAGGCCTGGGGTCGGGGCTCGTATGCGAGCGCCTGGTGGCCGGCCCTTAGCCCACGGGGCCCGGCCGGGCTCAGCCCGAAGGGACGACGTGGGCAGTCCCTCCTGTGGGCCCACCACCTGCAGAGGGGTCCTTGGTGGCGCGGTGCTAAGAGGACTGGGCAGCAGTCGAAGGCGGAGACCTCGGCGACCCAGTCCACACACACAACATCTGGCTCTTGGGACGTGGAATGTCACCTCACTGGGGGGGAAGGAGCCCGAGCTCGTGGGGGAGGTAGAGCGATACCGACTAGAGATAGTCGGCCTCACCTCCACACACAGCTTGGGCTCTGGAACCCAACTCCTTGAGAGGGGTTGGACGCTCCACTTTTCTGGTGTTTCTCGCGGGGAGAGGCGGCGAGCTGGGGTGGCCATACTAATTGCCCCCCATCTCAGCCGCCACGTGTTGGAGTTCTCCCCGGTGAATGAGAGGGTCGCGTCCCTCCGCCTTCGCGTGGGGGACAAGTCTCTCACTGTTGTGACGGCCTACGGGCCTAACAGCAGTGCAGAGTACCCGGCCTTCTTGGAGTCCTTGGGAGGGGTACTGGACGGTGCACCAACCGGGGACTCCGTTATTCTCCTGGGGGACTTCAACGCCCATGTGGGAAATGCCAGTGACACTTGGTGAGGGGTGATCGGGAAGAACAGCCCCGCTGATCTGAACCCGAGCGGTGTTCAGTTGTTGGACTTCTGTGCCAGTCACGGTTTGTCCATCACGAACACCATGTTAGAGCACAAGGGTGTCCACCAGTGCACGTGGCACCAGGACACCCTAGGCCGGAGGTCGATGATCGACTTTGTTGTCGTATCTGACCTTCGACCTCGTGTCTCGGACACTCGGGTAAAGAGAGGGGCGGAGCTGTCAACCGATCCTCACCTGGTCGTGAGTTGGATCCACTGGCAGGGGAAGAAGCCGGTCAGACCTGACAGACCCAAGCGTATAGTGAGGGTCTGCTGGGAACGTCTCGCTGAGCCCCCTGTCAGACGGATTTTCAACTCGCACCTCCGGGAGAGCTTCTCCCAGGTCCCGGCGGAGGAGGGGGATATTGAGTCTGAGTGAACCATGTTCTCTTCCTCTATCGCCGATGCGGCGGCTCGTAGCTGTGGTCGCAAGGTCTCTGGTGCTGGTCCCGGCGGCAACCCCCGAACCCGGTGGTGGACACCGGCAGTAAGGGATGCCGTCAGGCTGAAGGAGTCCTATCGAGCCATGATGGTTCGGGGGACTCCTGAGGCAGCTGTCCAGTACCGGCAGGCCAAGCGTGCTGCGGCCCGGGCTGTTGCAGAGGCAAAAACCCGGGTCTGGGAGGAGTTCGGAGAGTCCATGGAGCATGACTATCGGTCGGCCTCGAAGAGATTCTGGCAAACCGTCCGGCGCCTCAGGAGGGGGAAGCAGTGCTTTGCCAACACCGTTTATGGTGGGGGTGGAGAGCTGCTGACCTCGACTGGGGATATTGTCGGGCGGTGGAAGGAATACTTCGAGGTTCTCCTCAACCCCCCCGTCACGTCCTCCGTCCCGGAGGCAGAGGCTGAGGATGTTGGGGTGGATACTTCCATCTCCCTGGCAGAGGTCATCAAGGTGGTTGGCAGCCTCCATGGTGGCAAGGCGCCGGGAGTGGATGAGATCCGCCCAGTCTCTGGATGTTGTGGGACTGTCTTGGCTGACACGTCTCTGCAACATCGCGTGGCGATCAGGGGCGGTGCCAATGGAGTGGCAGACCGGGGTGGTGGTCCCTCTCTACAAGAAGGGGGACCGGAGGGTGTGTTCCAATTATCGTGGGATCACACTCCTCAGCCTCCCTGGCAAGGTTTACTCCGAGGTACTGGAGAGGAGGCTACGGCCGATGATCAAATCTCGGATCCAGGAGGAGCAGTGTGGTTTTCCTCCCGGCCGCGAAACACTGGACCAGCTCTATACTCTCCATCGGATACTCGAGGGTTCATGGGAGATCGCCCAACCTGTCCACATGTGCTTTGTGGATTTGGAGAAGGCGTTCGACCGTGTTCCCCGGGGTGTTCTTTGGGGGGTTCTCCGGGAGTACGGGGTCCGGGGTCCTCTGCTGAGGGCCGTTCGGTCCCTGTATGACCGGAGCCAGAGCTGTGTTCGCATTTCCGGCAGTAAGTCAGACCTGTTCCCGGTGCATGTTGGCCTCCGCCAGGGCTGCCCTTTGTCACCGGTTCTGTTCACTGTATTCATGGACAGAATTTCTAGGCGCAGCCAGGGGCCGGAGGGGGTCCGGTTCGGGGACCACAGGATTTCATCTCTGCTGTTAGCGGACGATGTTGTCCTGTTGGCTCCAACAAACCAGGACCTACAACATGCACTGGGACGGTTTGCAGCCGAGTGTGAAGCAGCTGGGATGAGAATCAGCACCTCCAAATCTGAGGCCATGGTGCTCGACCGGAAAAAGGTGCCTTGCCCTCTACAGGTGGGTGGAGAGGTCCTTCCTCAAGTGGAGGAGTTCAAGTATCTCGGGGTCTTGCTCACGAGTGAGGGAAGGATGGAGCGTGAGATTGACAGGCGGATCGGTGCAGCGTGCGCAGTGATGCAGTCGCTGTATCGGACCGTCGTGGTGAAGAGGGAGCTGAGCTGAAAGGCAAAGCTCTCGATTTACCGGTCAATCTTCGTTCTCTCCCTCACCTATGGTCATGAGCTTTGGGTAGTGACCGAAAGAACGAGATCGCGGATACAAGCGGTCGAAATGAGCTTCCTCCGCAGAGTGGCTGGGCGCTCCCTTAGAGATAGGGTGAGGAGCTCAGTCACGCGGGAGGAGCTCGGAGTAGAACCGCTGCTACTCCACGTCGAGAGGAACCAGTTGAGGTGGCTCGGGCATCTGTTCCGGATGCCTCCTGGACGCCTCCCTGGGGAGGTGTTCCGGGCACGTCCCACCGGGAGGAGGCCCCGGGGAAGACCCAGGACACGCTGGAGGGACTATGTCTCTCAGCTGGCCTGGGAACGCCTTGGGGTCCCCCCGGACGAGCTGGAGGAAGTGTGTGTGGATAGGGAAGTCTGGGCGTCTCTGCTTAGACTGCTGCCCCCGCGACCCGGCAACGGATGAAGCGGAGGAAAACGGACGGACGGACGGACTTCTAATAGATTACATTAAACTCTAATATGATTAGAAACAGTCTGTTTGCTTATCAAGTCTTCAAAAAGTGAATAAGAGCAGTGTCAAACATCTCGTTTTTTTTTACAGATGTTATTACAAATCCAAATTACTTAAGTGATGCACAAACGAGGGCCATAGAAAATGTATCTTATCATATATAATAATCATTTATTGAATATATGTGTAATTGTTTACATATAATATAACATTGTAAAAACGAATGATTACTGCCAATACAACTGTTATAACAGAGAAAGTCTGTAACAAAAGCATCCTCTTTCGTTTTCAGAATTAAGATTGTAAACATCCAGGGAGCTCTCATTACATGAACCTGTGTTTAGAGCTCTGTCCTGGGCTTCAGCATTGCAGCTAACTGGGCTGTTAGCTTATAGCACAGGAGCTTCAGGCTGGAGGTAATGTTCGAAAATCTTCGAATTTATCTCCAAACAGACCTCTGATGACAATAGAGGGGGATATTTCTCGCCTCAAATGATATTAGAATTAACTTTTATGTTCTAATTAAAGCGTATTTTGAACTTTTTACCGTCCATCATGGCCGCCGTGTCCTTCCGTTCCGCTCTTGAGTTGTGTTGTCACGTGACGAAGGCAGAAGGCAGCTGCTGTCCAAATTCACCTCAGGTCTCGCCACCTAACTTGCCTGTGCCTACGCGGCTTTTCCTCGATGCCTACGCAACCACCCTACGCGGCCCGATGCCTAGCGTTTTGGACACAGCCAAAGTGTCAGCGCTGTAGTTCCAGGCACACAGATTAAACTTTTTGTCCAAAAATATTGTACTCAAACGCAAAGGTGGGGAATGCTACTGCCTGAAAATAGAACTTATTGAGGCGTTTTATTTTGATCAGTTTTCTTGAGTTGTGTGAGCACATTCACTAAGAAGCCTGAGGTCCACATTTCACCCGAGTGGTACTTTTCTCATTTGTAATCATGTTTATGTATTGGCCTCTTGTACAAATAAATATTTATCCACGCTCTTCAGACAGCTCGCTGGCCCTACATTGACAATGACTTCTAAAATGATATAAATACTGTTTTGCAAATATATTAATACAGCTTGAATTTTTTTTTGACCACAATTGGAAAGATTTTATTTTGTATTGTTTTACTGAAAGACCACAACTAGGTAACAACTGTGAAGTGGTTGCAACAGGATAGAACGGTATTAACACTTTCACAAGGCACTATACATCTACACCAGACAACCCAACAAGAGATCTCAAAGCGTTCTTCACAGTGTGAACCGGGCTGGAATGTTAATTAAGCTGAACATATTCAGCTATTGCAAACTGACTTTTACAGCTGCCTGGTCATGTGTTCGCGCGTCTGTGTTCGCGCGTCTGTGTTTGCTCGTCTGTGTTTGCTCGTCTGTGGTCACACGTCTGTGGTCACAGGTATAACCTGTGTGCTCCTCTTCCACAGCAAAGATGAGGACGAGCCGCTTGAGCCGTTCCGTCGTCGGCACGAGCAGCCTTTTCCACAGGCGGTCACAACCCTGGCCCCTGCACAGCCCGTGCCCTTGCCACAGGCCCTACCAACACAGCCCAAGGCTCCACCACCTGCCCACGCCGCTGCACAGAGCCTGGACCAGCAGAGAGAGCTGGCACGCAGAAGGGAGCAGGAGAGGAGGCATCGCGAGGCTGTACGTACGCTCCTCTACTGTTTCAGCTTTAGCATGTTTGATGCGCACAAAACCACATATAACAGCGCACCGCTGTTCTGTGCACAGATTACTGTATTAGGCCAAGGAGTTTCCTCTGCCTCCTACAATTTTAGTGCAAAATAAAAATCAGCATTGGAGGCATGTGTGTCCATTCTGTTTTAACCCCATCCACAATGATATCAGGAAGTTCTGTAATAAACACTGACCCCTGCACCTTCTGTCTTAAAGGGCCTATATCACGGTTTTTGACTTTTCTCTGCTTTAAACATGATTACAATGCTATTTGGCCTTCATACACAAGCCCACAGTTGTTTATTCATTGATTCTGTCAATCTTTTGTAAGAGAACAATCTGTCTCCTTCCCCAGCGTGAGGCACAGAAACGCTCGGGTCCACTTCAGTGACGAAAACCACACTGATGACGCGCATGGCCGCGTTTGCTTTGTATTTAAAATAGTTGTTAAATACTTTTGTCAAAACGGGGTAAACAATACACAATTAGTATGCTGTTTTTTGTCAAAAATAATAAAATAAAAATAAATTAAAAGCCGGCGGGAGGTGATTGACGGATCAAAACAGCGAATCAGAGCGCACAGGCTCCGGCTCCCGAGTCCAGCGTCTGTGGTCTGGTCTCGCGGACACCACATAGAGCTGCTGTTTTTATGCTTTTGTCAGCGACTAAAAGTGTTAGGATCACGTCAACTTGAATGAAGTGTGTTATGGGTGTAAATATGTGACACACTATTTGGCCCTAAGAGGAAGAAAGCGGCTCGACTTTTTACATCTGTTCATCTCATGGATCTATTATAAACCGGTTCATCTGCGACACTTCACTGAGACTGTTCCAGAACTACAGGGACAATGGAACTGGACTTACTCAAAAGCTGATCTGGCTAACTCGCTGTATACTTCTGTAAACTAAATAACTAGGGTCTGATTGTGCATCGAGGACATAGGGCTCGATGTGACGGATTGTCATTGTTGGAAAAAGTTTATTCTTATGTATGAAATTACTAAGTACAGGTGATAAACGACAAAAGCGTGATGCTACGTCACCGTGCGGGCGGGGGGAGGCGGGCTCACGGGCAGAGGAGCAGACTCTTCTCTGGATCAGCTCGTTTGAGTCGAGGTGACGTCACCTCTATACAAGAGATGGCTCTAATCTCACAAGCTTTGATTGTTGTGTGGTGTATCATACACATTAATATCACACATGTGTATAGGATTGAGTGTGAAACATGAAGAAAAGCGTGATATAGGACCTTTAAATTCTCCTGTTTTAAACCTCTACACTCGGATGAATCCTGACACTGACGCCATGCTCAAGCCATTTTCCACCTTTTTAAAATAAAAATTTCACATAAGATGGCAAATTCTCCTGTGAAAGTATATTCTTTACAACTGAGATCCTTTATACACCCATCCATCCATATAATTTCTACTTACGGAATTATTTCGCATTCTAAAGTGTAAACCAATAACAGAACAGGGAGGGAAAATTGCACTATTGAACACATAAAGGCTTTTAGTTTGTCTACAGATCTAGCAGATGCTATCCTCCCTCATGCTTTGCTTGCACAAACTGAAGTAATTTGCACCATTATGTAAACATTATTTGTCTTTTCCACTTTTATTAAGAAATAAATGTTATTGGGTAGAATTGATGCGAGAATTATTGGGCAATTGTAAACCACACAACTTTTGGTCCATGTACAACTGAAACATAAGACAGATATCTCTTACATAACATGTTCTTGTCTTCTTAGATCGACACCATAGACATCAACTTCCAGAGCGACCTCATGGCAATCTTTGAGGAGAACCTGTTCTGAGATGCATCCTGAACATAAGCACTTCCTGGCCCCGACTGCATCTGGACTCCCAACACTTTTCTCTCACCGCCACCTTACACTGTCACTTCAGACACGCCTATAGAATGGAGAAATCGGTCACGTCTCAAATCCTTTCCTCACGTCCTCCTCTAGCAGGAAGTGTGCAAGGACATTCAAGGAGAGGAGGTTTGGGAAGTGCTCATGTCAAAATGAATCAGGAAAGTCCACATGCTGCTATGAGAAGAGCAGGAGTGAGCAATGCAAACACACATGGACCCGGAGCTTTTAACACTTTTACCATGATGTCTTTTAAGTTTGTACATGTAAATATTTGTTTCTCTTCCTCCGCTGGGCCGTGTGCGTTCTCCAGTGTCCTGTCTGTAGTTTGCTTCTGTGTGTTCCCCTCACAGAGCTTTTCTGTCTTTTGAGTTTTGATTGAGACGTGTTGGTTTGTCGAGTGAAGCCCCGAGCTCTCTGAACCCTCCCTGTTCAGAATAGAAAACAACTTTTTATATGAAAAATATTAAAAAATTATATTTAATAACATTAAAGGGCGCTGTTCAGAATCTGTGGTTTGTGACTTCCTGTTACTCATAAGGGCACTAAAATACAAAAGATGCTGTGGCTCTGGGTGCAAATAAGTTATGAAAGTAAAAATAGAAAAAGGAATATATAATCTACATCTTCTAAATCTTCAGATTTACTATGGTTGTAACCAGACCAGACCAGTGTGCTGCTTTTGTGTTTTGATTAAATAATATCTCACTCAAGTAAGTTTATTTCAATACATTTCAATGGGGTAGCTAACTTATAAAACGTATCAAATAAATAACGCATGTCTATGGCATTACTTAAGAGTAAAAGTAAAGAGTCACTCTTTGGACGGAGAGCAGAGTGAGTCCTCTTTATCCCTAAACTAAAAATGGGACTCAGGCCAAAAATACGTGCTAGTGAAAACTAGTGATAAAACCAAACTTTTAGATCAAGGAACCACAAGTGAAACTTAATTTATTTCTATAACGCAACCTTAAATGTAAAACTTATGTTATGGACTCATGGCATAAAAAGTGACATGTCAAGTCTTTGTTTTGACCTTGATTTTGGCTAAAACCCTAAAATTCAACATCTCTGGTTTGAATGTAGTGAGAAGGGACCACGGCTGTAAAGTGCCAAACTGCCATTGTGCAAGGCATTTCACCCACCCATTACCTAGAATGAGTAGTGTGTGTGAATGGTTGGTGGTGGTTGGAGGGGCCGATGGTTCATACTGGTTGCCTCGTGTCCAAAAAAGAGCTATATAAAACCGATGCATTATTGTTATTATGTAGGACCTGTCATAATGTCTACTGCAAAATTTAAATTTCCCCACTGCGAGACGAATAAAGGATCTCGTATCTTATTGTTGACTCAAAGTGACACATTTTCATCAGCCAATTGATCCAAACCCCTTTAAATGGTGAGTCTCACTGAACCAGACTGAGAGACCATCATGGAAGGAAACCATCATTGAAGCCTCTAAAGGTTTCAGAAGCTAGAAGTTCATTAAGTGCTGTATCATAGCACTTTCATAGAAACTTAAGAGGAAGAAAAAGAAGCACCAGAACAGGTATGGCAGAAGTCTTGAGAGGATTGTCAGAAAAAGACAATTCTAAAGTGTGGGGGACTGTCACAAGAAGTGGACTGAGGCCTGAGTCCGCATCAGAAGCACCACACACAAATGGATCATGGACGTAGGCGACAAATTCCAGGAGCAAAACTACAAACAATGTCAGAAGCGTCTTATGTAAAAGACCTGGTCTGTTGCTCAAAAGTTCTCTGTTCTGGTGAGAGAACCATTTAAACCGAGGTTCCAAAGTCTGGAGGAAGAATACAGAAGCAACAATCCAAGATGCGAGAGGTCCAGTGTGACGTTTCCAGTCTGTGATTATTTGGGGAGCCGTGTCTTCTGCTGGTTTGTACACTCTGCTTTCATTAAGTTCAGCATCGAGGCAATCGTCTACCAGAAGTACTTGATGCTTCCTTTAGCAGATGAGCTTTATGGAGATTATGACTTGATTTTCCTGAAGGACTTGGTACCTATACCTACAGCAGAAAATACCAAAACTATTGGATCACCCCTTTCTGGGGATTATGTGAGACATGAAAGCACACAATGCAGAACTGCTGAATACTGCTGTTGAAGCATCCTGGTCTTCATCACACCTAGAATTCTTGTATTCTCAATATTACCTGGAGAGAAATGGATTTTTTTTCTTCACTTTTTTGCCATTTTTGTGTTTCAAAGTTAATCATAGAAGCAGGGGATGCAGACCTTAGAGGGCAGCTGTGGCTAAACACTGTCTAAATGACATGAGCATAAACAGTATAGTGTCAGTCTTGTCATTAAAATAGGCTGCAAAGACTTCTTGAACCGTTAAAGGTCAATAATGTAATTCCCACTTCTACCACTTGATGAGGCTGTTACTTCTTTCGAGCTGTGACATTTATTACTCCTTTATTACTTTTATTAACTCCTGCTCATTCATATGTCTATTCCGATTCTTTCACATTCCAAAACCAGGCCTCCCGCTGCCAAACCACACACCACCACAGCTCCGCACCTCTACACCTCGGTGTCTGCTTTAGTTTCACTTCTAATTATGAAAGCAAACTCAGGATTCTGCTCATTAATGAAAGTTGGTTTTTATTTTAATGTTTTTCATTTACTTTTGACACAGCGTCTCTGATTCACTCACCGGAATAATAGGTGTTGCTTTAACAGATCACACAAACTTTACATTTGTTTCAACAGGTCACAGACTCCCTGCCATCACCAGTATGTTTAGCTGCAAGCCCATAAAAGTGTTGATATTCAGGATTGTCTGCGTGTAATGCCTTCGTGAAGCATGATGGTCAAGTCTTGAAGTTACAATGGAGAAACTCTTCTACAGTCCTGAACTTATCACCTCCACCCCCTCCCCTGTCCCCGCCCCCTTTGCGCGCCTCGCCCTTCCCTCCCGCCCTCCCTTTTCCTCACACACGCACACGCACGGACCCGCAGGTAACCGAGGCTTACTCCCGGAAGCACGGCGCCTCTCCCGCTCTCCAGCTGCCCTCTCCCCGCTCTCACTCACTGCTTTTTGGGTTGACAGGCTCCGCGGAGGGTCAGTGACTGGCTCCAGAGGTTCCAGGCTCCCACAGCGCCGTTCGTTAAGTTAGAAGTAGCAATTCCCGGAGGAGACGTACGCGCCAGGGGCGAAGCGAGTTCTGAGGTGAGCGCCGATTGGGTCCGCACCTGTTTGACCTCGTGTGTGACTGTGACCACACACTGTACAGTACAGCTTGTAGTATTTTAACAGCCTTAGTCTGTGCTTGGAGGGCAGCGCACGCGCCTGGACTTGATTAGCGCGTTCTGGTCTTTGTCACTCCAACTATAAAGAGGTAGATAGTATTGTGACAGCAGCAAAAGAGAAACCACTGCTGTGAAGGTTTTTTAGGCCTCCTGCAAGTGAGCGTAGAAAGAGCGCAACTTTCGTATCTTAAAACAGCTCTTCTCGGGCTTTCTAAAAGCTGGACCTCACTTTTTAGTTTCCAATGGAAAGCATCTTGTAAAAGTCAAATGTTGTGGACTAATCAGACCCCAACATGCTGTCGACAGCATGCAATCCATTGCAGAACTATTTGACTGTTTGGGCTGAGAGACTGAGTGAGGCTGGTCCTCTTTAGCACTTCTGTCTGAAGTTGACAGAAAAGTGATAAAGGGAGATCACCCTCAATCAGCCATTTAACTCTCAGCCCAAAGAGTCCTATAGTGCTGAATGCATGACTAACTATTCCAACCTTATACTTGTCAATGTGAGGTTGGACAAATGTTCTGCAGCGGTCCGTGTACTTTTGCGTTCAATACATTTTCTATTTTTGGAGGGAAATGGAAAATCGAAAAAAGGCTATTTTGCATTTTCAGGCACACAGCAATATACAAAAATGACCATTTTGGTTTTTTTCATTGCTTATAAGACATATATATATATTATTATAACTGGATTTGGGAACTAGAAAATGCAATAATTACCCTTTTTTTTATTATGTATTTAATACATTTTGGCGTCAATGGATTACCCGGAAGTGAAACAAGTTAGTTTACTCGCACGGGATTAGTATTACCTGTGGACCCCTGATAATTTGTGATAATCACGGAGAACGTCTGAGATTTTGCAGTGCATTCACACGGGATAAGCAATATCTGTAAAATACTATTTTCACTGACATCTGACATAACGGCCGCACGTGCGCAGGTCTCCCCGCTTCACGCAGTCCAGAGAGTCGCGTCTGACCCATGGATCTAGGTCTGACCACAGTTATATACAGTCTATGGACCACAGCAGCCACAGAGACCATGAGGACAAACATTTTACTGCTCTACAGTTCTCTGGCCCATACTGTCTTTAATGTTTAATAATAGTTTGTACGGACTACTCGTGAACGCACCACACACTGCTAATAAGTGTGAGCCGACAAATAGTAACGGCTGCAGCAACACCTCTGTACTGTATTAGGACAGAGTGCAAAGTAAACTACAAACGCAACCCATCGGTCTGATCATTCATTGTCCGTGAACACATTACACTGTCCTCTACACTTCTCCATAGACCTCACAGAGACAGCAGCAGCCGCGACTCTGCAGCTGTGTTCACAGCCGCAATCCGTGACTCCTCTGCTCATTGACAAAAACAACGCAGAAAGCGACAATCACTGACATGTACATTTGCACAGGATTAGTATTATCACAGGACATCTTTGGACAAATACAGGAGGTCATTTGCGTATTAAATTATACTAAATTAGAGCGAATGGGCTATATGCACGGGGAGGCGTGATGTCATTTCCTGTTAACAAAGCACAGCCCTTTCACTTCCTGCCTATGCTATCCTATGGCTATTAGGGGAGTTTTAGTGATGTTTTTTAGTAATTAGATTGATACATTCAGCTGTGAGACTGACCCAAAAGTGTCGCTGTGCTTTCTCTCTGAGGTAGAGCTTTGACTCTGGCCACTCAGAGCGATTTTGTAAACTTTATAAAAACACAATGACAGCACAATCAAAGAGCACTGCTGTGTCCCAAAAATGCCCAGTATCTTCAGTTTAATTCCCGTTTGAGCATTATTTGGGAAACTCGTGTAAATCACTGCTGAACTCCAGTGAAACTCAAGCCATTTCCCCCGAACAGGAAGTGAAGTGGGGTAGTAGCTAAAACGCGGAAGTGGTGCGTGCATAGAGCCCATAGGGCTGAAGTAAACAAACTTGTTTCACTTCCGGATAATCGATTGACGCCGAAATGTATTAAATACATATTAAAAAAAGGTTAATTATTGCATTTTCTAGTTCCCAAATCCGTTCATTATAATATACATATGTCTTATAAGCAATGAAAAAACCAAAATGGTCATTTTTGTATATTGCTGTGTGCCTGAAAATGCAAAATAGCCTTTTTTCGATTTTCCATTTCCCTTCAAAAATAGAAAATGTATTGAACGCAAAAGTACACGGACCTGCAGCTTTGAGCTTCATGCTGTTCTGATATCTGTTACCTTCAGTAATAACATGTAATTACAAAAGATGATACTAGAAACAATACTAGGTTACCTGGCCCTCTTGACTCATGTAAAACTACTATCAAAACAAAGTGTACAAACATAAATGTGTGCGTCTGTTGTGTCCAGATTTCTAAGGGGAAATAACTGATCCCAGATCATAGAGGTCTATACTACACATCCTTCAGTGATGACATCATGTATTTTATTCTTCTTCTGCACAAACTCGTACTCTGTGTCGGATTCGCTCAGATGTCAAGTAAGGGCAGGCTCCTTTTGTGGCACCGGCACCTGCCACAGCTGATTAGTGGCATGTACACAACAAATGGCGTTTAAAACGGCATGTGGACAACAAGTGGCGTTTAAAACGGCATGTGGGGAATAAATGGCGTGTAAAGCGGCATGTGGACAACAAGTGGCGTTTAAAGCGGCATGTGGGCAATAAATGGCGTTTACAACGGCATGTGGGGAATAAATGGCGTGTAAAGCGGCATGTGGGCAATAAATGGCGTTTACAACGGCATGTGGGGAATAAATGGCGTTTAAAACGGCATGTGGGCAACAAATACAGTTGAAAGCAGCCTGTACAAAAGACAACAAGCAGCATTAGTGGAGCTAGTGGTCCAGTGGCTCAGATGGAAAAGCACAGGTCTACGGTGTTGATGGTTGCTAGTTCAAATCCCCAGTGACCACCAATGACATTTGCTGATGTTGGGTCCTTGGGCCTAACACTTCATGAAGAATGTCAGAAATGCCATACATTGTTTGAAAAATGTTGTTTGAGTAATAATATGTTATTGTATAAATTTGTTGAAAGACTTAATTTCATGTATTATATATAGTTTAAATTCCACATGAGCTGCGTCATCCAGTGGCGCACTTGGTTTATAACTGCCTCTCATGCGGAAGATACCTGGTTCAAATTCAGGACAGGTCATTATTTTTTCTTTGTCAGATTAAATACAAATTTAATATATATATAATATATATATATATATATATATATATATATATATAATATATATATATAACAAAAGAAAAAATCATTTTATTTCTCTCTCTTCTTTAATAAAACCACATCAGAAACATGGAACAATAAGAAAGAGCATTAATACATATATATTTTTTTATAAAAGAATGCAAAGTATAAGACACAGCTTAATCGGTCCAAGAACAGAAATGAAGATTTTAACAATATAGAGATGAAACCTCATGTTCCAATTACACAACTTTCTGCTTGTATTTTTCAATCCATCACTCTTCACCATCTTTGGTTGGCTCCATTCTTGATGAAATGTCCTAAAACAATAGAATCTCTCGGTTTTTTCTTTGCCAAAACACAAAATAAGTGGCGCAGATTAAACATTCATCTATAGTGCGTAAGATTGGCAGATTGGCATTTTTTTTTAATGGCAGTTATATAAAAACTATATATATATATATATATATATAAAGATATATATATAGATATTTATAGATATATATATCATCATGTACATATATCCTGCATGTAACATGTTTGCACATTTCCTCCTTTTGCACAATCTGAGTGTCTCTATCCATGCCAAATGTGACATGTAAATTTCTCCTATGTGAGATAAATAAAGCAAATCTTATCTTATCTCATGTATAAAGAAATAACCGTCATAAAAAAGTTTTTGATCTTGGCTGGATTTGAATCTGCGAACTCTTGCATGATTGGCAGACACACACCAGCTATACCACTCACCAGGTGGTTTTAAGTAAAATTGTGTCTTGAGTGTTTTACACATCATTTAGTTTTACCCTAACGATGATGCAATATTAATCCTAATGCAAGATTACTATTGCAACAACACATAGCCATATGTATGAAAGATATATTCATAAATGTTCAACTTGTATTTAATCTGACAAAAAAATAAAGACCAGACCTGGAATTGAACCAGGTATCTTCCGCATGAGAGACAGTTATAAACCAAATGCGCCACAGGAATATACACTTCTTCAGAATCTAAACCACATATAATACATGAAATTAAGTCTTTCAATAAATGTTAAATTTAATTTATTATAACTCAAACTACATTTTTCAAACAACTTATGGCACTTCTGACATTCTCCATGAAGTGTTATGCCCAAGGACCCAACATCAGCAAATGTCATTGGTGGTCACTGGGGATTTATGTCATTGGTGGTCACTGGGGATTTGAACTAGCAACCATCAACACCGTAGACCTGTGCTTTTCCATCTGAGCCACTGGACCACTATCTCTAATGATGCTGCTTGTTGTCTTTTGTACAGGCTGCTTTCAACTGTATTTGTTTGACACGCCATTTATTCCCCACATGCCATTTTAAACGCCATTTATTGCCCACATGCCGTATTAAACGCCATTTATTGTCCACATTCCGTTTTAAATGCCATCTATTGCCCACATGCCGTTTTGAACGGCATTTGTTCCCCACATGCCGTTTTAAACGCCACTTGTTGTCCACATGCCGCTTTACACGCCACTTGTTGTCCACATGCCGCTTTACACGCCATTTATTCCCCACATGTTGTTGTAAACGCCACTTGTTGTCCACATGCCGCTTTACACGCCATTTATTCCCCACATGCCGTTTTAAACGCCATTTGCGGTGTACATGCCACTGATCAGCTGTGGCAGGTGCCGGTGCCACAAAAGGAGCCTGCCCTTTCTCCAGATGTCAGTATCCAAGTGGGAGGATAGTACTGTAGCCACAGCTGCTCGTGGACAGACTGACCAGGGCATTTGGGAAACTGTATCAGAAGCTAGTTTTCATGGAGATGTTGTTCAATGTGCTTATATTCTAGACACAGTTCAATAGTCTGGATCAGGGTACACCAAATGACAAGAGAAAACCCTGTGACTGTTTTCATTTACAAAGATATGTACGAGTAAATTAGTTTAAATAGCGTCTCTTTTGGTAAGCAGATTCTTCTCACTAGTCCTATCTCACCCCATACAGAACCCCAAGGAGCCCACATTTGGCTCCCAATGATCGACAGTATATGTCAGAAGTGACTCAGTCTATTTACTTTTTTCTCATTTGGACCAGAGTTACATTTAAGATAAGATCAATTTACATGTGAATGTTGGTCTCATCTACCTTCTTCAACATATTGAATATGTCCCCCGCTTTGTTTTTTGTGACTTTATTTATTTCACTTATTTGACAGGGACATTGCAAGTCAACATGGAACAAAACAAGCTTATAACTGATGCGATGCAAAAAGAGTTTATAGCTATTGCTAATTTTCAACTCCAGTTGCCCACTGCTTGGGCCTTCCTTTCATTAACTTTTTCAATATTATCTCAAAAACGTACCTATATTATACACTGTTTGAAACATTTACACACACAAACTCAGTGCTGTTTTACAAATGGGTACAATTCTGTTTCAGCCACGACTTAACTCGAGAAGTGAACATTTAAAACTCAGTTGTGGTTTTAAATTCGGTGGGTAATGAGTTCCACAACTTTGCACTTTCATGTGTAAATGCAGCGACGTTTCATGTGTAAATGTCTTAAGGAACTATACAGTTGTTATTGATGGAGCCTCCAGTGATTCTGTTGCTGCTTTGTCTCTGTATGAACTGAGTGGCTCAGGTGCAAGATTATGGAGACATTTGAAAGCTAGAAGACATATATTTACAAGCACTGACCCCCGTACTCAGCCCTGGTTTAATCCTGGTTTAGCGCCTGTTTTGGTTGTTTTCGAGCGCGAGTCCCCGTGATCACTTTGCTGCTCTCTGATGTGGAGCGAGGATTTATTTGAAGTTTTTAAGACAGAAATATCCATGCTTCTTCAGTGATTAGAGGTCGCACGTTTTGTTTGTTGTTGTTTTGGCACATATTGTAACTTGCGAAACTCAAAACTCCGGTGCGCAATTGCATAAACGGAATTTTCAAAAATCTTCACTTTGCCCGGAGTTTTTTTTTTTTTATGTTTGTTTTTGATGCATTGTCATGTGGATGACGGGTGCAAACAAGACAAATACCTGCGGTTTAGCAGATACCCGGCTACGTGTGTACGGGGCCTGTGTTTGAGAGAACATTAATCGCAAAAGCTTTCAAAGCTTAGCAATTTATACTACTGGAGAATACTGCAGTGATTGAAGCGGATTGGCTTCTTGTCCATGATCTTTATAGTTTGATTGTATAATGATCGAATGTGTTTAAAGGCTGAGGGCATGGCCTGAGCCCATGCTGTTATGCAGTATGATAATGTAAAAATATCATAGCATGCATGTATAGAAGGGCTGCCTGGTTTGGAATATAGTGTCTAATTAGTTTGAAAAAAATTAAGTTGCTTTGTATAGTTTTTGATATTTTCTTAAAACGTTTGTCAAATTTGAACTGGGGGTCAAGGACCAATCCAAGCTATTTAAAATCTGTTACTGATGTTATAGTTTGTTTTGCTTTTAAAAAAAAGAAAACACTTGCTTTTTACCGCTGTCCATAAAGCCCAGATTTGTATAGTGTGTGACTAATATTTGCCCCATGTACAGATTTTCCTAGGTGAGCTGTCTGTCGCTCCAACAGAGTAAAGCTATCCGTTGCGGCGAGTTTTAATGCAAAGTCAATGACGTCCGCTAATGTGAGGAATTGCATGGACGTCGTGGCACGCATGTTTATCCCCATCGGGTACGGGGGCTAGATGCATGCAGTGAAAGCAGGAGATGAATATCCTCGCTCCACACATGTGTGGCAACCAATCCATATGTCGGTCCAAACCTTGAAAAACACTCAAACAACTAAAACCAGGTAAGCTAAACCAGGGCTGACAATGGGGTATGCAGTGCTTGTGAGCATATGTCTTCACCCTGAGTTGATATTCTACTGTGACTGTAAACGATCTGCTGCTAACGATACAGAAGTACCCACCCCTTCCGCCCTGGGTTTTTCTCCAACGGAGGGCAGGATGTCAGATTGACCAAACTCATGCAGCTGATATTTAGTGAACGTGCGTAAATGCCTCCAATTGCGCACATCCATGTATCTGCGGTGTGAGCACAGCTTATAACCGTGTCTGCCTCTGTGATCAGTGTTGTCCTTAATCAAGTTGTGAGTTTGGGCTGACAGCCAAGTCTTGGAAGGTTTGCAGTTGTGCCATAGTCCTTCCATTCTCAGATGACTGAACAGTGATCTGTGAGATGTTCAAAGCAACAGTGCGTGTGCACTCTAGTCTCTCACTGGTAAAACTCGTTATGGATCTCTCCTAAAGGCTCAGCCATAGTAACCTGTGTCCTGGTCCGCCTGCATGAGCCATATTTACTGTTCCATCTCAATAACAGTGCATCCAACAATGACAAATGTTTTTGAGGTTTGCGTAAGGGTTGCATGTGGAATGACTGCAGCATTGAATGTTTACAATAGAGCTGAATGGAATTGATCACTTGTTCAGAAGGTGATGAATTTGACCCGGATAAAGTCAAGAGTGTGCTTATTTTGATGCTTTTTTTATTTTATTAGCCCCTGAATGCACATTTCTGTTAAACAATAATATATGTCTGAAAGATTGAAGATCCTGTATGAGGACCATCAAATTCATGTTTTTCAACAACAAATTTGGTCTGAGACAGAATTACATTGCCTCAGATACAAGTCATATTGAATTGAGGTTTTTTTATGTTTTTCAGTGGCAAGACTTTACTCGTTTAGGGGCTGAAATATGGTTTATTTGGGGGAACAGGTAGAAGTACACAAACACTAGCCTAACTGCTATTTTGTTTTTTATTCAGGCCCACCCCCGTCGGGCTGCTCACTGTGAATATGGGCTGTCAGTGCTCGTTCTTGCAGACGGGGTGAATGAGCACCCTCTCCTGTTCCCCTGTTACCCCTTCCTGTCACCATGGACACCACCACAGAGGACCTCGAGGGCTGCTACTACAACCGCTCTGTCAAGTTCTTTTACAACGAGAGTGGGAAGATTATCAGCGAGTCATGGCGGCCCCAGGACTACGTGGTGGTGACGCTGGGCATGGCTGTGTGCTTCATTGTCATCTTCTCCAACCTGCTTGTCATCCTCGCTATCTTCAAGAACCGCCGCTTCCACTTCCCCATCTACTACCTGCTGGGGAACCTGGCTCTGTCGGACCTCTTCTCCGGTACACACACACACACACAGAAAACGGCTCTGTCCATGACGCCAGCGCCAAATTCTGTTGCTGCCTAAAATCATAGTGAATGTTTTTCATAATCACAGACCCCTGGTGGCCAAAGAGTAATTCTCCATGAACACAGTCATTAGAAACCTGGAGTTATCAGAGCCAATATGGCTATGACAATGAGATGTACTGTACATAATGAGTCAGAGAAATGTAATGAAAACAAATATACTCAACTTGTAAGAATGGACATAGGTACAAACTCGAACAGCGCATCCAATCCGTCCGGTCGGTCCCCCCTCAAATCATTTACAGAGCTTGCTTTTATGAATTTTTTTTTTTCCAAGCATCAAGGAGGGATTAAATCGTATCTTTAACGAATTCCCTTTTTGGGAGAACACAGCTCAACTTGCGTTGACATCAGCCGAACTGTCGTACATGGCTGATGTATGTCTGTTTTACTTCTCTATGGGTCCGTGTCAGCAGTGTGTCTGTATTTAGCTCTTTGACCCTTACTAAGCTGAGCTACTCGCACTAAAACATACTAAAACTGCCACTGTGAACTCTAGTTATCGAATGAAAGTCTTCTGCCGGAGGCCATTTACACAAGGACGCTGCGACAGTAATATGATAGAGTTGGGTGTTGGATTGGCCTTTCGTTTACACAAAGACGCTGTTTTAGGGGGGTGAAAACGCTAGCTTTGAGAAACGGCCTGTAGTCTGCAAAACTCCTTGGTTCAATTTGTGACGTGGCACTGAAATGCAAAAGCCCACCTCGAAGCGCTCAGCAGTGATTGACAGAGGGAGAAATCATAACGGACATGCCCACAAACGTGCCAGGACATGCACACACAGCCTCTCTCCAGAGTCCAGTTTTGTACCACAGTCTGTTCTCTCCACAACGAGCTCTGTTGTCACAATCTCCGGGCACAGCCCGGAGATTGTGACCTGCACGCGACGGCACGTGCCCAGACACTGATAAATCCGTGCCGGAGGCACGGAATGGCTTTGTTCCTGCTGTAGTACACAGTGAAATGATTGAAGTCCTATTAAAGGGGGGTTCCTTCAACTGTCTTACGTCCCCCAAGCCCGACGGCGCGTGCCCAGACAGTGACAAAACAGTGCCGGAGGCACTGAATGGCTTTGCTCCTGCTGTAGTATAATGAATGGGGTCCTATGGGTGGGGTGGGTGACCTCATAAGGGCGAGGTGATTGACGAGCGCTGACGCGCTCGTCAATCACCGAGAACCCAATAGTTGCGTTCGCCTCGTCGTTCGCTTTAAAACGACGTATCTTTGTATTATAGGTTACTATGGAAACCTATATTGTTTTTACTCGAAGATTTAAAAAAAAAATTCCTTATTAGGCCCGAGCCCCGAACGGGGTAAGGGCCTATTGCTTTCACAATGGTGAAAACAAATGGTGGCGGTGCGTGACGGACGCGTCAGCGCCCGTCACTCACCAAAACGTGACGGTTGCGTGTGTAAACTCAAAAGCTTTAAAATGATGTATCAGGTGCCATTGAAACCTATATTGTTTTTGCTCGAGACGTTAAAAAAAAAATTCCTTTTTTATTTATTTCTTTCTTTCTTTTTTCTTCTGCACTTTGAGCCTTAATTTGACCCCCTGAACATGCATGAAAAGTTGTTAATTTTGGCCCAAAAATCAGACCTGGCGAAAAATTTGATATTTTGGTGTTTATTTTTATGGGACTCAAAGAATGACAGAACAGCGCCACCTACAACAGCCAAAATAATACCCCTATGGGACTTTTCGGAGGTCAAGTTTGTCGTAGAAACATGAAATTTGGTACACATGTTTCTCAAGTCAAGACAAGAAAAAAAATATTATTATGGCCCCGCCCCCTGACAAACAGAAAGCTCATTAATTTAATTGGAAAATGGAAAAATGAAAATTGATCTTTTTCACACATGTCGGCTGGAAATTATCTCCTCCTCGGCCGTTTCACCGATTCGCCTCAAAATCGCTCCACATCATCTAAACCACATGTACCATTCAAAATGACCTCAGGGATTTTTGATCAGTGAAACGTTTCGAGCAGCGGAGCGGCAAAATGTGACATTTTTTTCCCAATTTTTGACAAAAGTAAATTTGCTCCCGTTTGCACAAAGTCGGATTTGCACCAAATTTTAATCCATTGTTCAGCTCCAGGGTCTAGGTCACCTGAAAGTGGAAATATTGAAATTGGCTCATTAGCGCCCCCTACAGACTATGTTAAAATTTTACATGGGCTTTTTAAAATTTAGTTTTGTCAAAATGTTTGAAATTTTGCACATAATTCTGTTTTGTCATCTGGATTCAAAAAGTCAATGACAACATATGATTATTTTTTACCCTGTTGCCGTGGCGACGACCAACACTCCCCTGTCTGTGTCTATGAGAAAATCGTTAAATCTCTTAAAAGTACACCTCGCTCAAACATCAAACCAGCCGCGGCCGTTTCACTAATTATTCTGAAAATCGCTCCACATTGTCTCAACACATGGACCATCAATAGTTGCATATAGAATTTGAATTAGTCAAACGTTCTGCGCATGACAGACTCCCAAATTGTGGTTATTTTCATAGAGAGGTGTGAAGTTCCCATGTTATCCAATGGAGACTCTATGGACACACTCATATTGTATGTGCAAACAGGAGCACATTCACCAAACTTGACTCTGTTGTTTAACTCCTGGGCCTAGGTCACATGACTGTGTGAACAATGACATTGTCCCATTAGCGCCCCCTACAGGCTGAGTAAAAGTTTACATGGGGATAAAGGTATTTAGGTTTTCTGTTGTTTGATCTCATATTTGACCCACTGAACAAACACGAAAACTCACCAAACTTTGCAACAAGTTCTTTTCAGGCATAAAGTGTATTATTCTGGTGTTCTTTGGTATAACACTAATAAATTGAAATTGTAGGGGGCGCTATTGTACAACATTAAATAACACAATTTGCACATACAGAGTCCGATTTGCACAAAATTTGAATTGATTGTTCAACTCTCGGGTTTGGGTAAACTGAAAGTGTTAAAGACGAAATTGCAGCAATAGCGCCCCCTACAGACTGATTCAAGTGTTACATGGGGAAAATGAGGTATATCTTTTGAATAGAGAAACACAATCACTAATCATAGAAAGTAAAATTACAGTGTCGCTCCCATCAGGGCAGTGGGAAAATGGCGCGTTAGTGCCATCTCGGTGCGTGGTGCGGCGAGGCCCGTTAGATGCCGCTTGCGGCTTTAATAATTTAACTCTTTTTCTATTAATGATATGACCCATTACAACCAGAGAACGCCACCATAACATCACCCACCAGTTGCCAGCCTAGCACCCACTCGCCACATCAAGGGCTCTCGGTGCCTCGTCTGGGCACCAGTTCTCCCATCACATGTACCATGGGGAGGTTGAGGGAAAATACTTGTTTTTTATCTTTCTGTGGTGAAGAAAACTTTTTTTTTTTTACCCACAGGGGTATCGTACCTGAACATGATGTTCCACACCGGCCCCTGGACCATAAAGCTCACAAAGTACCAGTGGTTTGTGCGACAGGGCCTGATCGACACCAGCCTGACGGCCTCTGTGCTGAACCTGCTGGCCGTGGCGGTGGAGAGGCACCAGACCATCTTCAGCATGCAGCTCCACAGTAAGATGAGCCGCAGACGTGTGCTCCTCGTCATCCTGTCTATCTGGTTGCTGGCCATCCTCATGGGGCTGGTGCCCACAATGGGCTGGCACTGCCTGTGTTACCTGAGCCACTGCTCGACCATGGCTCCTCTGTACAGCCGCAGTTACCTGGTGTTCTGGGCCGTTCTCAACCTGCTCACCTTCTCCATCATGCTGGCTGTCTACACTCGCATCTTCCTGTATGTGCGCCACAAGAGCCAGCAGATGTCCCAGCACACATCCCACATGCGCTACAACGACACAGTGGTGAACCTCATGAAGACCGTGTCCATGATCCTGGGTGAGACATGTACTTTAACTCTGTACAGTTGTATTTTTTTCTGACTGACTGATCAAATATTATTGACCGAAGTTATTATTCACATTTGTTTGTATTAATTGTTTGTAGAATTTCTGTTAAGACTCATTAACTTTCATTCCTGCAATCCTGCTCAAGCGCGGATAAAAACTTGGGCCAGGGCCCACTTTAGCGCGGATGAGGGGGGTCAGTGTTGCGGGTGGTGGGAAGTGGGGGTATGAGGTGCGCCCGCACACACAGACAACACACACACACACGTGTCCCACCGCTGCATTTTGGGGAAAGACATATCTCACACTTGTTCACATTGCTCTAATGCAGGCATGTCAAAGTCAAATACATCAGAGGGCCAAAAAAAAATGTTTGCTACGCGCCGAGGGCCGGACTGGTTCAATGTTTCTCAACATCCAGAGGCAGTGCCGGTGACACCTGCTGGCTCGATAAAATATGCTCCAAAGCCAATCCTCATACTGTACATATTAGATGTAATAGACATCTGAGAACATGAAAATAGTTAAAAAAAAAAAAAAAAAAGCTCAAACTTGGTGAAATGTAAAAGAGCAGTCTGGACCTCTTTTCGGGGCGTTTTTTGATTAAATCTGCAGAATGGATTATACTTTGGGAAATACAAGTGAATGTTCTTCTTCAATGAACAGTTACGGAGAGAAAGACTAAGCAAGGATGGGGAAAGTCTAATTTGTTGGAGCAGCAGAAGACGAAAGGTAAAAAACGAATACAGACGTGATTTATTTTGTGCCCATATTATGCGTTATATCTTTTTAATGCAAAGTCTGATATCGTTTACACTTACATATAAATATAGCTGAGAAAATAAGCTTTAAAATGATATATAGCTTGTGGCTTATGAAGTTCAAAATACATCTGCTATTGCCAGCAGATGTATTTTTTTCCTTGTTTGCTCCCGCCGGCGGGGGCTAGCGAGCTTAAGGGGTCAATATATTGCCTCAATGGCAGGCAATGTCCCGGGGGCCATAGATAATTCATTCGCGGGCCGCATTTGGCCCGCGGGCCTTGACTTTGACACATGTGCTCTAATGCAAACAACACGTTGCATGCTCGAGCCTGCTAGCTGCAGTAGCAGAATATAAACAAGAAGAGAAGCGGAAACTCAACTTGGACAACGAGATAGTCGCAACAATCCGGGCCACTTGGTCTAGTTCGTTTGTAAAAACCTATGTGACCGTGCCCTAAACTGTGTATTTGACGCAGTTCAAGTCTTTCTCCTGTCTGTTCATCCTGGCTGCTCACACTTCCTCCAGCTCGTTTAGGAGCATCCTGAGGCGCAGCCACTGTCCCTCCATTATATCTAGGTGCTTCCCCTGGGCCGCCCTCTCCTGGTGGGTCCCAGGAGGCATACTTCTTTCTGAAAAATACTTGAAGTACTGTGAGATTTCATAATACTTTGAAGCAACTTTTGTTAAAGTTAAACTCATCATTCTACCAATGTGCAGAAGCCTGTACTTTTCCATTTGATGTTTTGTCTATCTGAAGGCCAAGCTACAAGCACTGTGGCAGCTGCTGATTGGAGGACTTAACTTACTGTTCATGTGCTTGTTCGTGCTGTCTCTACCATCGACAATAAAACATGTCTTCTGTCTGAATTAAAGACGCGATCCCAGACTTTGTCATCGTCTTCAGGTGGTGGAAGGATGCGGGCATTGTCTATGACATCTACAGAACAGAAGACTTTTTTTTTTTTTTTTTTTTTTTTTTTTTTTTTTACACAAAAATGTGTTTTTCAAGCCAAAACTGAAAACCCTCAGGAGAAACCATGCGTCTGGATCAGCACATGGACAATCTGCACAGCCCCTTATTCCAATCAGGCCTGCTGTACGCTGCTGAGACATGGACAACACCATCGTCCTCTCTTGGATGGACATCATTTGGAACAATTGGATTTCTGAATTTGGACTGAATTGAATTGCTGAATCTGGACACTGAAGCTGAAACATGTGATTGAAATAACATGTCACAGAAGAATTCATGGCTCGACACAACAAATGCAGCCTGAAGAAACCAACACGGAGAAGTGGGAGACTGTTTTCAAAGCAATATCTGAGAACCATCGACTGATGAAGTTTGGTATTTTACTGAAGATTGTTTTCAGTAAAACAATCTTCAGTAAAAGATTGTTTTACTGAAACAACAATCTTTCAGATTGTTGTTTCAGTAAAACAACAATCTTTTTTTAGATTGTTGTTTTAACATGTTGATTGTTGTTTATGAACATGTTCATAAGATCTGAACATGTTCAGATCTTATGAAAGATCTGAACATGTTTTATGAGTTTTATGAGTTTTTTGAAGTATTCAGAGTACAGAGTGAAGTTCCGAGTTTAAGTATTGAGTTATGATGTTATGTAGCCGTTTATCAATCCTGATGGTCACACGTCAATGTGTGACCCGAGGGGGGAATGTGAGATTTCATAATACTTTGAAGCAACTTTTGTTAAAGTTAAACTCATCATTCTACCAATGTGCAGAAGCCTGTACTTTTCCATTTGATGTTTTGTCTATCTGAAGGCCAAGCTACAAGCACACTGTGGCAGCTGCTGATTGGAGGACTTAATTCTCCCATGCTATATTATCACTAACAGTTTGTTACATCCTTTGCTCGTGTGCTTGTTTGTGCTTTCTCTACCATCGACAATAAAACATGTCTTCTTTCTGAATGAAAGACACGATCCCAGACTTGGTCATCTTCTTCAGTACTTCTGTTTGTGTTGCAGTTGTGGTTTGAGCTCTTCACGACATGCCTGTAGCCAATCTGGTTCATGCTGAGCGCATAGACCTGTGCTCCAGCCTGTTCTTCCAAGTGTGTGTGTTCTTTGATGCCCCACCCTGTTGGGCGCCTTCTTGCCTTGTCCCGACCTGGCCTGTCCCAGCGTGTGCTTCTCTCCCACAGTATTCTCTTTCCTGTTACTCCTCCCTCCCACTTGGCCCATGTAAGTCTGCCCATGTTCTTCTTTAACACAGGTTACACTTCTCTCTGGGGGAGGAGATGAAGGAAGGGGGGTGGTGGGTTGGGTAGCACATGCCCGGACACAGCCTGCATAGTTGTGATTCAAAGGAGGAGGCTGCTCCATGTCAAACTCATCCCTACTCAACTGTTGCTACTGTACATACCAGTGCTTACTCTAAACGCGACAGCACGGACCAATGAGCAACGGCTGCTCGAATTTGTTTCATGTTCAAACTATTGTTTTAATTTATTTATGGTATATGTGTTGGTGGCTAAGTGGGAACAGGTACTTCCAAGGTCTCTTTTCAGGTTAATTCCATCGACTTGAATACTAGGACAATATCTATGCAATGCAATTTTCCTGAAAACTTGTGAACATTTCTTAAACATTTAATTACAAGAAATGTATTGCTCAGTGTGGACAAACAACTCTCAAAACAAAAACATTTTAGCAAAATGGACTATACAAACTCAAAATGTTCATTCAAGATTGAAAGATTGAGACATTTAGCCACTATAATGACATTTCTCCAAAGACTATTGTTTGTAACAGATTTGAATAATTGCCTTGTAAACAAAATCAAGCCATAAATTAATGAGTCCTTAAAGCACATGTTTTGCATATGAGTGATGAGTCAATACTGTGTGTGTGTGAATGGAGAGGAGGCAGAGTGCTGGGGTGGTGGAGCAGGAGGCTGGGTGGGGGGGTGAAGACACTTGAGCATAAACAGCACATTCCTGGGCGCGCTCTGGTCCCACTCCGGGTTTATTCTGGAGGATCTCATTTCATCACTGGATCATCTCTCCAGGAATTCCCCAGCATTCTGCAAACATACAGAGGCCTGGTCTGGACCCCCTTACTGGTCGAGTGATGTCACATTGGTCTGTTTGATTAGATATTGTTAAATGTCATGAACTCATGCATAATCTGAATCGGTGCACTCAATATGTTTCTTGAGGCTTGATGCAATACAAAAAGGACATAACAGGCACAATCATCTACTTTTCTCGGCTTTTGTCCATGTTTATAGTTGTTTCCCTTGAAACACTTGTTCTTCGAGTGTTTCATGTTTTAGTCTTTCTTCTCTCTTCTCTTATGCCCAGCGTACATCGGACTGGCAACTGATTATATACGTCGCATATGAGTTGCTGCCCCGCACACATCGACAATGTGACGAAAACGGGCAACTCCTAGTAGCAGACCAGTCTAATGTGTAACCAGTGTTCCGAGGTAGTCTTCTTGCCGAGGCGTGCTCCGTGTGAACACTTCTTCCCCCGTTAGGATAAGCCAACATTGTGTGGAAAATCAAGCACACAGAGACTGAATCTTTGCGCATCAGAGCTCGGAAGTTCATTCTCAGTTTCTTCAGGTTCTTTCAGGTTATTTCAGGACAGAACATATTTAGGATGTGGTTTATATAGTCAACGTTTACGTCACACATATGTCATACATGGATAAGCATTCGTGTCACATCAAGAGAACAATCAGAACATAAAAGACATCGAAAGAACAAAACACGGACACATAATCATAGCAGATACACAATCGGGTTGTTGTGTCCTAAGGCCAGATCACTTTATAGCTATCTGATTCCCATACTCCCCCATTTGATAAAATAGGAAAGTATCATGGATAGCTATTTGACCTAGCAGGTGGACAACTGTAAGACTATACAAGGACTCTGATTGTGCATCCATGTTATGACTACGATATGCTCTGGAGTGTCTGATTTGACATGTACTGTCTTTCGATACTGTACTGATTCTCAACAATTGGTCCAAACACAGTGCCTCAGTATGAAAATGCCTTGCGATATGCAGATGAGTCTGCATTGTTTTTTTAAGCAGGCCTTTTAGCTTGAGCAAAAAAAAAAAAATTCGACATTAGTGACTTTGGGACTGAATACAGAACTTATATGAAATGATTTGAAATGTTGACTGCCAACAGAGGCAGTTATAATTAACATAATGTGCATGCACACGCACACACACGGACACATAAGTTCTATTCCATATCTAATGACAGTGCATTGTAGAGCATGATTCCCTGAGGGCATGGGCGGTTCAAATTATATCAAATATGTCTCACATCTGTGACTACCAAATGACCTATTGGAGGGCTTTATTATCCTCAATCATCCTACACACTTTCTGAGTAACGTTGTCCTGTTTAGTAAAATCATGCTCTTTGTCCATAACCATGCTGGTTAAATGTAAAAAGTTAATTTAGTTTCTTTATGTTTAAGGCTTAGAAGGTTATTTTAATAAGCCAAAAAAGTAAAGACAACTTGTACTGCTTATTTTACCTGACATGTTTCGGCCGTAGACTTTGACCTTCATCAGAGGTGACACGTGATGGTGTGACGCCGTCTCTCATCAGCTGTTGTTGCTGGATGCGAAGGTGCCCTCGTCTCTGTTGGGGGCTCATTTATCAACATTCATGGACATTGGTCTCTACATATGGATCAATACGTGTGTATTCTCTGTGTCTTAACTGTTTATTCTCTGATCTGTGTTGATTTCAATGGTTTTGGTAAGTCCTCTGAGATGACTGCAGTTGTGGTTTAGGGCTATACAAGAATAAATTGTATTGTATTGTTGATTGTATCAGTAGTCATAAGATAAGATCGACTTTATTGATCTCACACAGGAGAAATTTACATGTCACATCTGGCATGGATAGAAACACTCAAGATTGTGCAAAAGAAACGTATGCAGAACCTTTGCGTATGCAAGAGACAGTAACAAGCCATTCTGTTCAAGAACATACTGTACATTTCATGGCAGATGTAAGTGTACTTTGTACCATCTGCAATACTTCTAAACTGATAATTTAAAGGTGGCATAGTTCGGTTTTCGTCATTTTTCACAGTCCATCCTATGCACGTGTGATAATTTGGTCGACACACCATGCAACACTCAAAACTCGTCAAATTATAGCCTTGTTGTGCCTGTGAGCCCAACTCCCCCGCCTGCACGGTGACGTAGCATCACGCTAAAAGTTCAATGTAAACAAGGGCTAACTGTACAGCTTTTGTTAGTCATTTCCCACCTGAGGATAAACGTTTTCCAACAATGGCAACCAGTCACATAGAGCAATATGTACTCGATCCAGAATCAGACCCTAATTTTTTAGTTCACAGTGACATACGGCAAGTTAGTTGCATTGTACTCACATAGGCTCCTGTTAGCGTCTTTTATGTTGGAATAACACAAAGTTTCCAGATCAGCTTTTGAGTAGGTCCCGTTTCAAGGTAACTGTAGTTCTGGAACAGTCTTTCTTGGTGCCGGTGCCACTGTCACTGGATTTCAGACTTGCGCGGATTCGAGGCAGATATCTCTGTGAAAAAAATCTTTCCTCATTCTTTGTCTTCGGGCGAAATACTCGTCTCACATTTACACAAACAACACTTTCTCCAAATTGACATGAAGCTAACACACAAAAGGACAGACGCTTATTTACTATCTATGGGCCACACGCTGGACGTGGAGAGTGGCTGCATAGACTGCGCTGGTTCAGTTCTTCCTGCTGTCAATCACCTCTTGGAGGCGGGCTTTCTACTTCATGGATTGTGCCGCGTCACTATTTGAAACAGCTTGTTTCTGTGCCTCTCAAGAATGAAAGATACATCTGCATCATGAACCACATGTGATATTCTGAATACTAACAATTCCACATTAATCCAAGGTACATCACATCAATGTCAAGGACATTTAAATCCATGTTCACAGTTGGTATAAAAGTAAATGTTGGTTTGATAAATTGTGGCCACCCCTGTGCTGTACACTGAAAATCAATGAGAAAATAGACTGAGTAGCCTATATTAGACAATCCATATACTGTCTTTGTGTAGGGGATTGGAATAATATAGGCTTATTACTTCATCCAATCCCTTTTCATGTTCAATCAGTGTTTACATTTGGGTTTGTCTTGTAGTCTTCTCCAGTCTGTAGCCCTCAGGTCGAAGTGGAGAATGGCTTTTGTCAGATGGTCAGGGGGAAGGCAGAGGATGTCCTCCGCCTTAGAGACTATTAAGTAGTTGTTTATTTCAGTCAGTCAAGTTGTCAGTTACAAAATGTTAATTCACTTAAGGGGTTTGGCAAAAAAACCCTCATCTCCAAGTAAACAGCAAAGAAAAACAAACAGCAATCGGTGTGGAACTGAATAATCACAATGTGTATGAGATATTTTGAATTCATTTCTTTATTTTATCTTATCATTTATGAGCAATACATTGTTTGTATGTTATATTGAATATTTATTATGGAGCAGCATAACTGTTCATAAGATTAACTTTTTCCTTCCAAGAGCTTTTACCGAGGTTCAGGTTTTTTAATGGAGTCGTCCAGACTATTCCAAATGTTTACTCCTCTTACTGAGATTCATCTGCTTTTGGTATTTGTTCTAACTAAGCTTTTTGTTACATTGTTTCCTCTCAAATTGTAGCAAGTTTCTTTGTTTTTAACCTCTATTACCAAATACAGTATATTTTGTTTGATCTAAATTCATAGACAATTTGTTGTAATCAAACCATCTTTTTAAGTATGTGTAGTTCTTTGTTTACAGTAACGATGAGATGCTCAATATTCGGCCCTGAGAAATACACTGCAGGTTCTTGAAAATGTTATTTACAAAATAAACAATTTAGGCCCCAGAACAGAATATTAATATTAATAATAATATATTATATATCACATTCTTACATTCAATAGTTTCATATAAACTTTCTGAGAAACTATGTTATTAGTGTTAGAGTATAGAGTTATTTTAAGTTTTTTTCAGAGCCGGCAACCCAGCTCCTTAGACTGTTAGAAAATGGATGGAAATAATGTAAATGTGTTTACAAAAGGAAAACTTGTCTGTCCAAATGGGCATTGTATTGACTTTTGTGTATTCCCAGGTTGCTTCGTGCTCTGCTGGACCCCTGGCCTGGTGCTCCTTCTTCTGGACGGTCTGGGCTGTGAGAGTTGCCACGTCCTTCACTATGAAAAGTACTGCTTGGTGTTGGCTGAGTGCAACTCCTTTGTAAACCCCATCATCTACTCGTTCCGGGACGCAGACATGCGGCGCACCTTCCGAGAGCTACTGTGCTGCCTGTACCGCCGCCGCCGTGCACACAAGGGGCATGCATCAGGGGTGCATTTCAACACGGTGGAGCATGAGGTACTGAGCGAGAGCAACGGGGAGCAGCAGACACACACTACTATTCTCACCTCTGTCTCCGCCCACTCATGAAGGGAGGGGCAACTTACTGAGAGGGTGGGGATGGTCTGGCCCAGTCCCCCCATGTTGGCTGCCATTACAACGTGTTGAGCTGTGCTGAATCGTGTATACTGCCACTTTGACTTTAACAGCTTTCTCCATTATGTGGTTTATGCGGCCTCCAAACATTCAGTTAAGTTACCTTCCCATGATGCTTTGTGCGACTAGAGCAGGATCCTAACCTCAAAGCTGCATTACCTCACTTTATTTTTGTATTCATTACGAAAATGTAATCCATAGCCATGCAGTGCATTGGGATATACGTTCCTTTTGAAGAAAAAGTAGTGCAGGTTTGTGCTGGCGTGTCATTTAAGTTTAAATCTGTTTTCACTAATCTTCAAAGATGTGGCTAAAACAATGAGATTTCTGCCAGGGTGTTAAAACTTTCAATAACAGCTGTAAGTTGTCTGGCATGTTGCATCAAAGACCTCGTTCCATTGACACCTGTGCAGTCTCCCAGGGTTCACCTTCCAGACCTTGAACCCTGTTTTCACCACAGCCCTGCTAAACTCCACTCTGTTCTTCTTGGTCTCGTCCACCTGGTTACATTTCCGTTACACCGTCTCATGTCCTGCCCACATCAAAGAGAATGACTTGTGGTCCCTCCCACATCTGACATCTGACAAGCACTTCTCTTCACTTGGACTGATGCATGTTTTAACAATGCCTTTCACCTGAACCTTTTTATTGTTGTTTTTATGTCTCTTCATATCTAGACATGGGACCATCATGAAATGTTATGTCAGAAAGACTATTAAGTTTGACTCATGAAAAATATCTTATTTTGTATTGTCCCATCCCTAGAGGTATGTGTGTCTCTGATGTGGACCTGTGCATTCTGTGCCGACCTGGCTGTGTGTTCCGATCATTTTAAAGGTGGGGAGTTGATGTTTCAATCAATCCATTGTTTGACCAAGTTGTGCTCGTAAAAAGACAACTGTTAAACAATTGGTTCATTTTAAACAAATTGCTGCAGTCCTAATTATTCACTGTGAGTTTACAGCAAGTGACGTGCATGACATAATGTAGGCATATTCAGCCACATTGACATGTAAACAAAAAGTACTCCAGACAATACAGTGGTGTGGAACATAACTACTCTTGTTATTTGCACTGCTAGTGTAAAGCTATTCTTGCATTTAACCGGCCAATGTTTATGCACAGAGATGCGCTGAAGACACTTGGTGTGAATTGAAGTTAAGAGACCACAGAAAGTGCTATTACATTCTGCTTTCTCTGCTTATTCTAAAGAGTCTTTTAGTCTTCTATCCCTGAGCAGTGTGAACCAACTCACAGCCAATCATCTCTATAGAACATACAAATCTTTTAACTCATTGACTGCCAGCCCATTTCAGAACAGGTACTCCCATACTGCCAGCAGTTTCTGATGGTTTTTACTGATTTTTAAAGACCCACAGAATATTGTGTACTATGACTATCTGAAATCCGACACAGATTCTAAAAGAATGGACTGTCTACTTTCCTCAGCAAAAAGAATTTTGTTTATAGCTTTTTTCGTTCCCCTGTAATCCTCCGTCGAGTAGAGGGAAGTTTTACTGAAATCACCAGAAATCACCAGAAAGTTGAGAAAAAAGAGGCACAACATGTGCACCTACATGTTTTCAAACCATTCAGAGAGAAATGCTGCCACCTGCTGGCTCGATAAAATATGGTCTCAAGTCATCCCCATACATATTAGATACAATAAACATCTGGGAACGTGAAAATAGCGAAAAAGGCCTTTGACGTATTTGTGCGTCAATGGGACACAATGAGTTGAAAGGCATCCCACCTTTAAAGAATTGTTATGCTTTTCTTTGTATTTTGGTCCTAAATGTGGGCTTAAGGGGACCGTATGTAATAATTCTATTTTGAATTACATGTACATCTTTTAAGCACAATTCATATTTGACCGTTGAAAAAATGTGTAGTGCTTTCTAAATAAAAATACAACCTTACTGACATCATTAGACAATTATGGGTGCAGACTACATGCGGCCCCTTTAATTACCTTTTGCTTTGGCTTTTCATGTTTAGATTACATAACTTTATAACGAACACTTTTCATTTCAGATGACTGTCATATCTATGAGCACCAGTGGGAATAAAACATGACTAACATTCACCTCTCAACAAGCACATCCATACATGCACACACATAAATACCTACTGTGCATTCATGCACACACAATCTCACAGACACACATGCACAAACAGCCACAATTAGTATGAAAATCAAAGTGGAAATCCCTCCGATTAGTCACACTGGTGGTTATGCCAAACTAGGTCAACTATTTCAAGTCAATTATGTTTTACAAAATTGACTTGAAGCCCGGCCCTTACTCAAGAGGATTCTGTCCGGATCCAAACCTGATGGGATACTGTCCGTACCCATACTCGTACCCATACTCCAGCCTGACAACTTTTCCCAAGTCCGAATGTTTTAAAGATGAGGCAAGATTTGCATAATTCTCATTTGCCGCATATATAGCGAATCCAATCCAGACGAGTAGAATCATACACTTTAAGCCTGACCCAATATACTTCAGCACTAGCACACAGGGCAAAAGAGGTTGTGAACCACTGCTTTAAACCACAAGGTTAGCTTTTTACTTGATAAAACAAGATCATGTTTGTTTTGTAAAGGGAATAATAAGGTAAATCAGTACTTTCTGTGTCTGCCTGTCTGCAAGGCCACACAAAGTGGTCCCCATTATTACCCAGCCCCAGTCACTAGAACTAACCTCTCCATTAATTATAAAAGATTGTGGATTATTTGATCAGCTGTGAGCTGTTTTAAGGCATTTGCTTATTGTTAACAAGACTGTTCACACAATGTAAACTTTTACTTTGCCGAGATTGCCGTTTTGGAACGTGAGAAGTGAAACTGCTCTTCTCAAGTTCTGATTGTGGGCAGACATAAAACCAGAAAAGGGTCCGGAACTGAAACCTCTGCAGAGTATAAAGCAAACGGTTGTTTGCATGTTGTATAAAGACAGTCAAGTGGAGGAGATTGAGGAGAATTTGCATTAGTCAAATGTGAGGGAAATGTTTTGGCCAGTTTGGGAGTGGAGGCCTCCAGGCACAAGTGGCCACAGGGAACTCCCTGTAGCTCCTAAGCCCTTTCGTAGAGTTCATCATTAACCAGCTATGCTCTCTGGAAAGTCCAAAAGTCATAAATGTGAGTGTTAGACTGGACCATAGACTGTCCCAACACACTACAATTACAGATCAGGGTTAGGGTTACTTTGTTATTGAAGACAGAAGTGAGGCAACCAGTATGTGCCATCGGCCCCTCCAACCATTCACACACACACACACCAAACTCATTCTAGGCAATGTGGGTGAAGTGCCTTGCCTAAGAACACAACGGCAGTTTGGCACTTTACAGCCACCCCACAGTGGCACCTGGTGTTCCCAGAGGTTAAGTGTCTTGCCAAGGAGAAGGAAGGTCTTGTGGTGGGCTCGAAGCCACGACCTTCGGTCTCAAAGGCCAATGTTCTACCAACTGAGCCACTGTCACCACTTATAACGCATATTATTATTATTTTTTTTATTTTTATTGAAACCCTAAACTCTTTAATTATGGCCTTTACCAAATGGTTGATGCTCCAAGTAGATATAGTTGCCCTCATTTATGAAACTTGTACATGGCCAAATCAAGGGTGTAAATGAGGCGTACGCAAAAAAAGTACACTTTTTTGCATTTTTCAACTGGAAGCGAGCATACGGTACGCATAGAATATACGCCAAGTCTGGAGGTGGTGTAAATGAATACGCTTATCTCAACCTTCATCACAACACGCCAAAACACGCATGCAATTCAAGATTTGGACAACAATAAACATACTCCCAATCTGGCAAAATTATAAGATGCATTTTCATTGAGCATAAAATTTTGAAATTTGAATTTGCGCATCAGAAAATGTCCAAGGGAAACATGCAAACGTCGTATAAATCACAGTTCATGATGAGGAACCTCTTCTGTTTCTTCGTTTTTTAATCTGACTTGTAAGTGTATCCTGGGCTGTGAAAGGTGCTCTACAAATTCACTTGACTTACTTACTAACTTAGTCAACAGGGATGTGTGACCCATCTATTTCTCCGTAAATCTGTGGCAGGCCCTGCACTGCGTAATTATGCATGGCTGTTTGTTTTGCCTCATTCACATCTGGCAAAGCAATGCATTTTATCATTGGTTTTGTGAAAGCCTCACACACCCCATAAACGCACCGATAGACTGTGGTCTTGCTCACTCCAAATGTCTCACTGCCCTGTCCACATGTAGCAGTTTATAGATAGGATAGCAATGCGCTTGTCTGTGGGAACGGGTGCATGGGCAGTACGGCGCCGGTGCCATGAGAGGTCCCACCACATAACTCCTCAAATGTGGTGCTCGTCATTCAGAGTGTGTGTGTGTGTGTGTTCCTTTCCCTTGGGTTATGTGGCGTTAATAATAAACAGCCGCTACATACAATATAAGTTAACGCATTTCATTTAACTTATTTTCATGTGTCAGTTGTTTGTTTTCTATAGGCCATTGTGCGAGTGTGGGCATGAAAAACATTGAACAGCAGTTTAAATGAGGTTACATCAAATTAAGTAGTTCTGTTACAGTTGCTGTCCTCTGCTGTCCAGCACTGTACATGCAACGCTGCAGTGCAGCTCAGACTACACTTTCACAATTCTTCATCTGGTTAGTGCACCTATTGCCTAACCAGAATAGGCCTGTGGAGTTGGCCTATTGTATTTATGTCTCAATGTATACGTGAAAGAACTGTCATAACAGCGCTAGTCATTTATAGTCATGCAAAAGGCCCAACAGACGCAGAGGTGACCATACTGTACTTTTTAGAAACGCTTTAAAGTAATTACTACGTCTCAATAGCATCAACACGTTAATGTTCTTATGAAAATTAGGTGTAGTTGACACAATTTCCATGATGATCGCCAACAACAAACAGTGGCCAGACGGTTGTTGCACAATGATGTCTGCTGTCGTTATGTCCTTGGGCAAGACACTTGACCCCACTTGGCTCCTCCTGTGGACCCACCACCTGCAGAAGGGGTTGGTGTTGGACCTTTCAGATTCATTTATTTGCATGCATGTAGTTATTTTAGTGCTGTCAAGCAATTCAAATATTTAATATCATTAATGTCATCGTTAACTCGCACATTCTTCCCTGTTCTAAATGTCTCTTATGTTTGAAAAGGCATTGGAGGAAGCAAAATAGGACACCAATCCCATCCAAAATGACAATTTGGATTGTCTGATATCGGCTACTCCATCTACGCTTTTGTTATTGCTTTTTACCGTGTATAGAACAGGGGGGCCTACAATTTATCAAACCTATGAACACTGAGAGAAAGCCTGTCTAAGCAAATAGTTCTTAAGTTGAGACTTCAAATCATCAAAAGTCTCTAAGATGTGCAGAGACTGAGGAAGCTCATTCCAATATTATGCTATATCCATTATTATGCTAAAGCTAAACAAGACCAATTTGTGCTGCTAAGTTAATCTTCTCTGATGCTTTCTGAAAGCTAATACTAGGCGCTTATGACTGATTGTGTACATCATTTTACATAAAGAGTCAAAAATACAATCATAAAAAGGTACAATGGCCCTCATTTATGAAACTTGCGCAGAAAAGGGTGTACATTATTTTTATAAGGCATTTTTTCAACGCCTGATTTATGAACGTGTGTGATCCGCACAGATCTGAGCGTACGCAGCCGCGGCTGTTGATAAATACTGCGCTCAAAACCAGCATATTTATGAAAGTCACGCCTAGAAATATTCAGAAACCGCCCGTTTCACGCCCCGTTTTTACAACAGGTCAGACTAGTTGGAAGCCTCAAAAGGCCTGTTAGTGACACGCACTGAGTTTATATTGAGTTTTATTGTATTATTTTTGTGTGAAAAAAAAAAATTACGCTATATTATATATACGCGTTTTTTCCCTATTGTCTAGCCCCAATGCAGCACTCTCTTGAACTTTAGAAATGAATGAATGAATGAATCTTAATATCTCAGCGGTGACTCTCATCATTAACTGGGTCAAGCGTCAGCGACATCTTGTGAATGCAATGGAGCAATCTCTGAGAGAGAAAGGATGCGTATGAGTTAGGGAAGTGTCTGTGATATCAGAGAAACTCAAACGTCTGAATGACGCGCACCACATATGACGAGTGCGGTGGGACCTCTGTGGCACCCGCTGCACACTAGCACAGGAAGGACGTTAGCTTGCTATCGATAGCTAAATGAATCTAAATGTAGCTAGCTCACTGTGTACAACAGACAAACATTTACACGAGTAAATACATTTCAGTGAGAGATTTGGGCCAACGGGATACTTAGCTAACCAGTTATTTCCAGGATTACCACTGACTAGTCACATATCCAGAGCTGGGTGGTCTCCCTGAAAACCTCATGGGACCTCAGTGTTGAGCCTCGAGCTGCCTTTGAATTCTTTCTTTTGGCCTGAAGAGAGTAACGCGTGGACCTCGTCCACCGACCAGGACGCTGACTTTTGGGGCTTTCTGTGCGATTCCATTTCTCTGGAGTGAGGAGGACTTAATGCAGCCGGTTTTAAAGATGGCGGTTGAGTTGTTTTTCCCAAAGGGTCAGATGTCGGTGTAAGGCAGTGGGCCGACGTCACGTCATGGTATCAGTACGGCGCGGATGGAACCACGGCTGAGGCGTTATGAAAAAAGTAACGCAAACTCAGATACTACTCCCTGTGGAAATGCAAAATAACCGCGCCGAAGCGTACCGTACTCTACCGTACTGTTACTGTGGAAAAGCGGTAAAAGAGCCACTGCCCGTGAGCCCGTTCCCACAAATAAGCGCTTTGCCATATCTCTGCCATTGCTGCGTTTATGGGGCTTTATGCACAAAACTAATGAAGAAATATGTTGCTTTGCCAGAGGTGAATGAGACAAAACAAGTAGCCGTGCATAATTACGCAGCGCAGGGTTTGCCACAGATTTACGAAGAAATAGATGGTCACACATTAAAGGTCACCTCATGGTCACCTCATTTACACCCTGATTTGGCCATACGCAAGTTTCATAAATGAGGGCCAATGTCACTCTCAAACTCTACTGCATGTTTGAACCCCCTTACCCTGTGTCCTTCCTTCTGTCCACTGCTCCTGCTGTCCACAGAACCACAAGTCCACCACCAGCACTGGGGAGGAGGCGGAGGAGGTGGGCCAGCCTCACAATGGGACCCCCAGCCTGGAGAGCCAGGAGCCGCACACCGCTGAGCCCTCGTGCATGCTGCTCATGGAGACAAAAGCGCGTTAAGACAAACATGCTTTTATTTCATCCACAACTTTTGGAATTTGAAAAGTTGTTGAGAATGTTTTAAAAAGGTACATTTTGTAGATGTGCGCTCAAAAAGGGCTTTTTACCATGTCAGATCATTGCTCCTGATTTTAAAACGGACTTGGTGTTGTTTGACTCCTACAGCCACTGAGTCAAATACGCAAAACTCATCAACTTATTTTCTATGTAATGACCATGCCATATGAGATTTTGCTCTAAATATTGCAGAATATAATTTCCCTCTATTCATCGCATACTCCAGTATACAATTTAAAATCATTTAATTCGTTTTCTGATCATTACTTCATTTCAAGCAGTTGGCGTGTTTGGAAGCAACGTTTAGAACTTTTGGTTACAAAATCATAAGTGTGCTGCTTTTTACTGGGATTTTAATTGTAGGTTTTGCTGGTGGAGATGAGAAGCCATAGTGTGTCCAAAACTTTAGAGATCCATTTGCTGATCATTTGGCTTCGAAGCTGTAAAAACCTGCATTTGGATATTATACAGTTGCTTAGAGCAGTTAGGCTTTGCTGGATTATTTAGTTTTTTGGTTATTTTAAGTTTGTTTTAATAGCATGTCAATATATTTATTTTTTAAGTAATTGTGTCTTTTTGTGTAATGTTTCAAACTGACGACTCGAGTGGAGTTTTGTGGTGAATAAAAGTTTTGTACTCTCCAAGGGTAGTCTTTTTTGTATTAAGTTATGAAGTTAAAGCCTCTTCTTGGAAGTTGGATTTAGCCACAAACAAATGACAAAAGGACATCAATGCTGAATTAAGTATTAAAGCAAAACTTATTTGCAGGTACCTATTTAGTTTTAACGTTCCCAAATGGGGAATCCCTCACTCCATAACCTTTTTGAAGTTAGCAACTTGAAGCATCAGACAATAACTGTGCAGTGGACATTAAAAAAGTCTTCAACCCTTGTTTGAAATGATGGGTATTGGTCATGTAAAAAAAAAATTAAGATGAATAATTTCAAAACATTTTCCAAAAAAACTGTTTAGGGAGGTGAAGTAGAAAATAAACTTGAGAATGTGGTTGCATAAGCGTGCACACCCTTTTACAACTGGGGATGTAGTGGTGTTCTCATTTAAATTTAAACTCATGTTAAACTGGAGATCAGCTGTTCTAGAAAGCTTTTCCTGACATTTTTGTTGCCACAGAATCCAGCACAAGCCATTGTCCATAGAACTTCCAAAGGATCGGAGGGATCTCATTGTTAAAAGATATCAGTCATGAACTTAAGTATACCATGGAAGGAAGGGAAGACAGTTATCAAGTGTTATGGTCTGATGAAACCAAGGTGGAACTTTTTGGACATTCCAAAAGGTATATTGGCATAAAAACCACACACACACCACCAAAATAACACCATTCCAACAGTGAAGCATGCTGGTGGCAGCATCATGCTTTGGGACAGTTTTTCTTCAACTGGAACTTCACCTTTCAGCTTCATCTTCAAAGCACACATCTAAATCAACAAAAGAATGGCTTCACAAGAATAACACTGATGTTTTGGAAAGGCCCTACCAGAGTCCAGACCCAAATCCCATCAAACATCTAAGTAAGTAAAGTTTATTTGTATAGCGCATTTCACAGACCAGGGTCACAAAGCGCTTCACACATTAAAATACACATACAGTGGGTTGATCTGAAGGAGTGCACAGTGCCAATAGCCTGGCTAACGCCAGACTGCTGTGTGCGCTCGAATCCTTTCAAACTTCACATATTTCGTCTGGCGTTAGCCAGGCTACAGTGCCAATGCAATCTGTCATATTTGGAGTGGTTTTGCAAATTTTGCCATATCATTGGCTCCGAGCCAAAAAGACTGAGTGCTGTAATAAAGGCCAAAGGCGCTGCAACAAAGTATAAGTTTATGTATGTATATTCAGATTCTACCACTACGAATTGCACTGTACTACGTTCAACATGCTACAACCACATGTTCTGTTGAAGAACTTGTCTGAACTTAACGTGCATCCATCCACAATAAGATGATATGAGTCAGCGTGAACGGTACACTGTCAGGGAGCAGACTTTTGAGCACAGGGGCACCGCAGGGCTGTCTAAGCTCACGTGTTTTATTTACATTTTATACAGATGGATGCAAGAGTTTCTATCCTGGCAATCATATTTTGAAATGTTCAGATGACTCAGCCAATCTGTCATTACTCTGCAAGGAAGGCAGTGTATTCGAATATCTGCCGGAAATTCACACATTTGTTGATTTGAGTAACAACAATCACATAGTTTTAAATGTTTTGAAACCAAAGATATCATAATTGATCCCCGGGGGATTGGTAATCATAGGCCAGTTGTTATGCTGCGTGTCTGAGGGGAACGAACTGGAATACCGGTCGGTTATCACAGACTTTGTCGACTGGTGTGAGCGCAACCACAGCCATATCAATTATGCATGGAGCGTTAGGCTCAATAAACGGACACATTTGTGTGGACAATGAAGATTGTGGATTGTTTTTTGTTTAATTGCTATTTTTCATATTTTGTATCTGTACGCTTCTGAATTGTTTTTTTGTACACTAGTTGGCTGCAGCATGGGTGAATAGCCCAAGACAATTTTCCCATGTCTGGGACAATAAAGTTTTTCTTGAATCTTGAACAGCACACACACACGCACACACTCACACACACACACCCACAGGTGTGGAAGACCAAGAATAATGCCAAATGAATTAAATGCATAATCTGCACAACTTAAGTAAAAGTAATAGAACAATTGTGGACATCTTGGACTCAAGACGAAACCCAGTGAGACAGTCAATGAGGGGGCTTCCATCTTGTGGCAACCATCTATTTGCTTTGTTTTTTCAAATTGTGTTCTGTCAAGGAGAGCAGGGCACCGGGCACGACAGGAGCACAAACCATCTCCCAAAACTGAGCGATGTAGAAAGAGGTCCCTGTAATGAGGCGTTCAGACCGCCAACGCTGGAACGCAGCTTCCGCGCGCACCAGACGCACATTCTCTAAAATTCAGACACAGGGGTGTTCAGACCAGAAGTCCTGGCCTGCGGTGGCGCCTGCCGGAAGTGGCAGAAGTAGCGGGCGGGCTTTGATGCTAACAGAGTTTGCTTGTTGTGTAAATGTCTTCTCCATTAATGCAGCTCTGCAGCGTCTCTGTGTCCAGAGACCTTCCAGAGACTTTATATAACAGTTAATGTTATATGTTCACGGAGGTGCGGCATAACTTTATTTTATTATTAAACGGTACTTCTGCATTGGAGAACACGCTAGAAGCAGTTGTATACAGTCATGGGAGAATGGAACACATATGTTCACAAGCACTTTATCTCTCATTGTCAACCCTGGTTTAGTCCTGGTGTAGCTCCTGTTTTGGCTGTTTACGAGTACTTTCAGTCAGCTCGCTAGACCGCTAATGTCTCCATTACATGACCACTTTGCGGCTCTCTGATTGGTCGCTGCATGAGCGTCCCGAGGAAACGTTCAGCAATGTTTATCTCCTGTATGCGTTGATTATCTGCTCCTGCGCCTCTGCCGAGCGTCACCATTGACTTTGCATTGAAAGTCGCCGCAACACATGATCCGGTCTGAACGTGGCTTTAGTCCACCATGGCATGTCTGACTTACACTTCTTGGAGAAAAGTCTGAAGACAGATACAAAGTTTAGATCTGTTGGTGGTCAGAGATTTTAGATGAACTCTGTCCCAAACAGAGAGCCGGTCAACATACGTGTGTAGATTTTGACTGTTTGTCCTCCATCTCAACTCTAAAATATCGTGACTGCGCTCTGAAAAATGGGATCAAAATCAATGACAAACAGGGAAAAGAAAGGAGGTGGTTGTATTTGACTTTTAACTATGCATCTTCATTGGCAGTATCTGGCCTCTTCTAAGTTAATTGTATTACACTATGGTTACCCAGGTGATGTAATGAAATTGAATCAACTGTGGTTCGCCTTGCTTATAAGTTCAGGTAATACCATTACCAGTATGAAGCACTGCTACCACAGTAAAAGAGTTTTACAGATGTTTTCTGTCCTTGGGGCCCTTATCCCCTTGAACATCCGTCCTGTCACCTCCCCCTTTTGGGCTCTTGTGGAGGGCTCCTAGTGACGGCCTTTGTTGCCATGTTGGTTTAAAGCTGCACTAACTGACTTTGGGATTTTGAAGCTGTGGACTCGCTGGTCTCGCTCTTTCTGCTCCCCTCCCCGCACCCACGAAGCTATCGCCCCCCACACACACTCACTGTTGGGACGGAGCTAGTGTCTCCCAATATGGATAATACATGAATATGGATTTGCACGTGGATGGCGTGACCATAGAACGATAGAACCGGGAAGCGCGGAGGAATGGGACTTTCTTTTGGATGGCTGTTTCGCTAAGTAAGCAGTAACCGGTGATGAAGACACGAAGCTTCAGGTTAGCTCCTCGGCTTGTTGTGCTAACTCAGCCGTCTATGCTAACGGACCTGTAGATTTCTCACGAAAGTGGGGGCCAGTGGTCCGTTGTGATTGGTCACAATCTGCGACCCGAAACACATTCTCTTCCTTGTTTCATCAAAACTCGATCTAAAATATAATGTCACGCCAGCACAAATCTGCGCTAATTATTCTTCAAAAGGACGTATATCCCAATGCACTACATGGACATGGATAGCATTTTCGTAATGAATACGAAAATAAAGTCAGTTAGTGCAGCTTTAAGGGGGGCTGGCTTGCGCTTGTTGGGTCTCAGGACCCAAGAACTCTTCCCTTTGGGCTTGCTCTTGCGTTTTGTGAGTTTTGTCAGTCTGTGCCAGGTTTTCTCCGCAGGGGACCTCTTCTTCTGCCAGAAGAGACGCCGCTTGGACCCAGAGATCCCCATCCGAGAGCCTGCCGAGGTATGGAGCACCCGGGGGTCTGAGGAGGTGCTGCAGAAGGCTCTCAAGGCTAATCTATAGAAAAGACAACACACATTGTTCTCTCGTTTAAAGAGCTTATGCCGGGTTTAAAAAAAAAAAATTGTGGATATCAAAATTGCATGACAATGTCAATCTGAAAGAGATCCCGGCAAAACAAATCCTATATTTTATAAAAAGAACGTGTTTTTCCTGAATTTAAGTTGTCTATGCTCTAACCTGTGTGTGACATCATAGTGGGTAACGCCCATGCATTGAAAACCATGGATCTATGCCACAGGGACTGCCTTTTCTCTCTTCTCTCCACTGATGCCCAACACAATACTGCACTCTACAGGTGACAATTGCTCACTACACATAAATTGCCGTTTTGTGAGTGAAAAAGTGTCTGAGGTGGGATTTGAACCCCATTATCTGGATTGGCAGTCCATCGACACCACCACTGGACTATCTCAGTGCCAACAAGATGTTACAATCTAGTAGTTATCTAAGACTCGCTGTACACGGCCTTGTCATCTTGAATATCCGCGAAAAAAGAACGAATACCAAATTGTAAACAACTTACAGCGTTGAAACGTACCGACTCTGACGTCACCAAGGGCTGTGAATTTTTTTCGTCTCCAAACGCGTTGCTATGGGGTTATTTCGATTTGGGGGGATCAGACAAAAAAACCAACAACTGATTTTGAAACCTTTAGTAGTTCTCTTCTAATATAAAATGGTATTAAAACTGTATTTCTAAATACATCAAACCCGGCATAAGGTCTTTAACCACATTCCAACCAACATAGAATGGTTTTGAGTTACTGGTCAGTTCTCAGACCAGCCCCTCATCAGTTATCAACCAGCCCCATCACAGAATACCTTGTGTTTAATCTGACATCATATACTTCTTATCTGTGACACCTGTGACTCAATATTATACTATATAATACTATATTCTATTCTAAATGTATAATCTCAATATTAATCTAACAATATAGCATTGAAAAACTGAGTTCAGTCCCCCCCATATTGCTCTGAGCTCTGCCTCTTACCTACAAGGCTTGACCTTTGCAGAAAGGTGTTTACGTGAGCTGATTTCCCACGCTGCCGAGATCGAGAAACACAAGCACACACACACATGCGTCACTGGAATTGAGCTGGCGGAATGGTCCTGCTGCATTGAAGGGCTCTAGCTCCTCCCGTGACTGAGCTCATCAAGATGTCATGGGAGCGTCCAGCGGTATTTCCAGAGCCTTGACTGGAGAGTCTAATAGTCTAATAAAGACAGTCTAATACAGCATAGCGTCCCTGCACTGCTATGTCTCTGCGCCCAAAATCTACTGCATTTATCTTCCATTGTTGATTGAAGCGGCATCCAGTTGAAACGTGAATCACTGACTATTACAAAATAAAAACAAAGCAAATTAAGAAGAGAGGGAGAATGAGCACTGCTGTGGGTTGGATATGCGGGTCAGGTGCTCATCAAGATCCAAAATGCAAAAAGCTCCTTTTTAAAAGGAATAAAGAAGGTCCGAGGCACAACTGGCTTAAGAAAACTCCTATTTATTAGGGACGCGTTTTTACCACTATTGCAGGCTTTTATTTTCACACTGTTATTGAAACAGACGAACACACAACACGTTCTTCAAGGCATTATAGAAGAAGTGACAATTTCATCGACAGCCATGGGACAAACAGAATGACAGCTACTTCCAGCAGGATGGCACCGCGGTAATGGCAGCACTGTTTGACTTACGGGTTTAGTCGGGTCAGTCTGCACGGGGGAATTGATTTTGACTCTGTGGCCTTCCTTTGCATTGCTTTGCAAGACACGAGGAAGGACTAATGTGTCGTGAAATAACAAAATGGAACATCAATAAATAAGGAAATAAATGACAATATGAAGAAAATAAAGAGGATTAGTTATTTCTTTGGGGAAAAGACTGCAGTTAAATAACATTCTATTTCATATGTTGCTTCAGCCCTTTAGGCTTCGCTGTTGCATATCTCTCAGAAGCACCTCTTCCCGCCCTGAGAAGATCAAACGACCCACTGCTCCAATCACCTTGATGTCCTGGCGTAGGCCAGTCCTCTATATAAGGGCTTTGCACCACAGCTCTTCTCCTTTCTCTCTCAGCTTGCCTAAAGAGAAGCTTTGATTCTAGTGTAGGATGTCTTCAATCAAGACTCCTCCGTGCCTGAAATCTTGTCACCCTTCAGTGTCAGGCTGCGGATTTGCAACTCGTGCCACTCTTTTAAGCTGTCTGCCATGAATCCTGTGGTTTCTGCCTGGGTTGGCGTCATGCAGCGGAGGTCAGCCACGGTTGTGTGTCCTGTCTCAGGGAGGAGGGCAATAGACGCTAAGGGTTACTGACTGCCATCTTGAGTGATGCCCAGGGTGTGCTCGCTCATGGAGTGCCACCCTATGCCTACGCTACTGCTTCGCCTGATACTACAGACGAGTCAGACTCAGTGGGGGTGGGTCCCGGCTCAAAAGTGGCCAAAATGGCGTGCCCTGATATGCTGCAACACCACCCAGGGCCGATGGGGGTGGATGCTAAAGGATATTCTTACCTCTTGAAAATGTCTTCACAGGATGGTCCAAAAGTTGGCTCTTGGCCCAAAGCTCCGTGTCAATGCTGACGGGAGTGAATTTTTGGACCAATCTAGTTTAGTCTCTTTTTTGAATTTTTGAAGGCACTCGTTAAACGCGGCCATTTTGAAACTGCCCATAGACCGCAGAAGTTGTGGCACATTAGTTAGAACGGCGGAGATAGGCATGGCTATACGTCCCTTAATAATTACAGTCTATGGTCAGACTCCAAAACTGGATCGAGGACCGACGGTGATGTGGATTCAGTGAGGGCCTTCGACGAAGACGCCTTGTCCCTCCATTCCTGGAGCTTCTGCTCCACTATGCCAGCCGCGAGTGGGATAGGCCTCTGACAGCCAAATCTCCAGCCTCGCTAAGTCCCTACCAGCCTCCTCTCAGTGGTCTGGGCTAGAAGCAGGATAAACTGTGTGTGATGCAAATGCTTCACAGGTTGTTACATTTGCTAACAACTTTACTCTCCCTCTACACTCTCATCTCAGTTGTGTACCCAGAGAAATGAGTTGGGCCGCTCTGCTCCTCCTCAGCCCCCAGTGTTGGAAAGCGTGGGCTTGGCTACACGTAAGATTTCAAGATTTCAAGATTTTTATTTGTCAAACCAAGTGAATGGTTTGAAATTATATTTCTCTCATCCTTGATTGTGGAGCGGGGGGTGGGGGAAAAGGGGTGGGAGGGGTGGGAGGGAGGGCAGGGAGTTCAGCTTCCTGATGGCCTTGTGAATGAAACTGTTTTTAAGTCGAATGGAACTGTTCCGTAAATTCTGCAGTCTCCTCCCTGAAGGCATTACCCTGAAGAGCCTGTGTAATGGGTGCGTAGGGTCCCTGGTGATTCTGACGACTTTGCAGGTGAGACGGGTGGAGTACATGTCCTTAATGGTGGGGAGAGGGGCTCCACAGATCTTCTCTGCTGTTCTCACGATGCGCTGGAGGCTCCTTCGGCAGGAGGCGGTGCTGGTGCCGTGCCACCCAGTGATGGAGCTGGTCAGGATGCTCTCTACAGTCCCTCTGTAGAAGTTGCACACAACGGAGGCCGGGACTCCTGTAGCGCCTCTTGTGACGCCTCCACTGTGCTGCAGATGCGTGGGGCCCTCGGTGACCTGTCAGCGCTTCAGAAGATGATATCTCTGGATTTGTAGGTCTTAAATACTGCTCAAAAAGCCTTTAGCTCAGATGCTAACTGCGTGTTTACTTTTAAAAACACATCTTCTGTTCATTGCTAGCAAAGAGCTTTGGCAGTAAAAAATTCCGCTGAACTCCACAAAAACATGGCAAAGATGTATAACAACATCTTGCAAAACAATGCGGATCACAAAAACTGCAAATGCAGTTTGAAGAAAAGGGTAGAAAAGGGTAGAAACGTCACCTTGTCAAGAGAGAGAGAAGCCGCAGCATGTTCATGCGCCGCCATGGTAACAGTAAGGTAGGTAAGCGCAGCCCTCATGCTGTTACCCAGCGCCGCAGCTGAGTGAATAGCACTCTTGCTGCTCAGCAAGAAGGTCCTGGGTTCGAATCCCGATCAGAACAGGGCCTTTCTGAGTGGAGTTTGCATGTTCTCCCCATGTATGCGTTGGTTTCCTCCGGTTTCCCCTACCACTAAAAACATGTACAATAGGTCTGGCATGCGCCTCCTGTAGGTGACTGCTCCATCTCTGTGTTGAGTGAGAGACAATGTCCACAACTATTGTTAAGTGCTTTGTGACTCTGGTCTGTGAAAGGCACTATATAATCATGATTACTTACTACTTAAAAGGGCACAGGGCTGCGGCCAGGACTCAGCCCTTTTCCCAGAGGCCCCCCTCTATCCGATGCCTCCCCAGGAGGGATGTCTGTAGGCGGGCCTGGCCTTCCTCCCTCCTGCCATCCCACCGTGCTTCCCTTGACCAATTTCTTCCTGTATGGTAGCACTGTGGTTGCGCAGCTACGCGCTCCAGTTCTCCCGGCGGCCCCCTGCTCTCCGCGGCTTTGCAAGGCGAGGCTGCGCAGCCCAGAGGACGCTGCAGCGCTTCACAGGTAGGCACGCTACTCCAACGCGGAGCTGTAGTGGAGACAGGGCAGGGACAGGGTTTTACTCACCATACTTCATAGTACCTGAGAGGAGCGGACCAGTGGAGGGCTCCACTGGGTGTTGGTAACCTTGCCTGCAAGCTGAATTCTCGCGGTATTTGTGAGTTCACAAACACTCGAGAATACATCTTGTACCGCTCCCGCTTACACTTTTCGAGTCGAACCACTGGGTGTGCGAGCCAATCACGCGCCAGTCTGGGGGTTTAGGGCGGGATATCCGGGTTTGACGAAAGCAAGAAGTGCCGGGCCGAAGCAAAACAAACATGGCTACGCAGGAGGACGGACGCGTAGCTGAGGCTATCAAGTCAGTTTTAGCAGAATCTCCAATTTCTTTTTTGAAAGATGAACAGCGAGAGGCGCTTTGTGCATTTCTGGACGGCAAA